TTGGTGGTACTGTGCGTTTGTGGTGATTTGTTTTTTGAAATGGTAAGGGGAACACCGAGGTCAACCGGTGGGAGGTGGTCGGCAGCGTCAGGTGGGGATAAGAGACAGGGTTAAGCGGGTGTGGAAGATGGGGAACGCGCCTACATGCGTACGAGGTACATCCATACATAGGGCTATCTAGGGTAACGAGTACAGTGAGTACAGTGGACTGAGACGCTATGCTAAAGGTGAGAAAAGTGTGACCATGATTATCGCAGCGTTGGAAGGGTGTATTCCTGTGAGATAGGAAGGAATTTTGGTGTAAACGTATAGGGGAAACAGGAATCATGGACCATAGTTGCCCTCTGCCAATTAATATGACACGAGTAAGAGAGCATATATTGACTGAACATGTACCCAGCCAACTAGGACAGCCTCGCCTTCAGCACCTCAGAAGCATCCCTCAGGATGACCGCCGCCTGCGAAATCACCACCCTGTCGCCCACAACCTGTCTATACAGAATCTTCCTCCCCCCATCCTCTCGCCACATCTCCGTCCGCACCACATCGCCAGGATACACAGGCTTGCTCAGCCTCAACTTCACGCTCTGGAACCGCTTAAAGTCGCCGCCGGCAAACGTGTCGATGATGTGCAGCACACCCATTCCCACGGTACACGTACCCGTCAGGATCGGCCCCGGAAAGCCGCCTGCTTTGGCAACGGCCGGGTCGATGTGTAAGGGGTTCAGATCTCCCGACGCGGCGCGGTACAGGGCTCCTTGCTCTGGTGAGGTTTGGTATTCCACCACAGCGTCCGGCTTGCGATCTGTGGGCGTCGCGTGTGTGGCTGTGGCTGCACCGCGAGGTATCGGTTTCGTCGAAGCCCCAGCCCCGGGGACTTTCATGACGAAGGATGTCCACTCGCTGTAGCAGATCTCCACGCCCGTGGCTGCGTCGACGGTAGTGATGCCCACAGCGACGGTGACGCCAGTTCTTCGATCCACAATATCCACCACGCGTGCGGTAGTGTGTAGTGTCGCTTGCTTTGGAAACGTCCCCTTCATCTCGAGGTAGTGCTCGCCGTGGACGTGGTTGTGCGCCTGGAAGTTTGGGAGGAATTCCATCATCCCGTAGGTAACTTCACGCATGACTGAGATGACGGGGAGAGTGGCGAACGTCGGCACGGCCGCAAAGTCGGGATGTGCTTCAAAGCATCGCGACAGGTCTGTGCCCTTGACGCCCAGGGCGATGTTGTAGGTGATGATGTTGTTGGGGGTGTAGCTGCTCGTCACGCTCCATGAGCGTTTCTTGATGGCTTCGACGTCGATAATCGTCGCCATGGCTGCTCAATGACCGTGACAACAAGGCTGGCTTACGTCTGAGAACCAGACCTTTTGTACACCCAGGAACGACTGTAGTTTGAACAACGCGGTTATGTATACCCGAGAATGGTCTACCGAGGTCAGCTCGGACCGTAGCAAATAGATGGTCACACAGCTAGAACGGGGTCAATGCAGGTCGCCTTTTACAGAATCAAACAGAATCGATGTCAAGAAAACTATGTCGTTAATTTTTTTGGGTACTGACGAGAGAGGTCACGTTCATCCGGGGTAGAGCTCAACTCACGCAAGACAATATACCGGGAATAAACTCCACAGCTTTTTCCTCCACACCCAGAGCCTTACCGACAAGACACTTTGTGGGGGATGCGGGGTCTTACCACAACAAGATAGCCTTGCTTCCGAGGTCCATAGCACAGAAGGCCCGTTCTCCTTGAGGGCTCAAGATCCCTCAAAGTGTAGAAAATGATGCATAGCGTGTAGGTGAGAGTGCCAGAACCATTTGTACAGTCCTCGTCGACGTGCCGGTCGCATTTGTTTGTTTCCCCCCTCTCCTAGTTGCGTGATCGTGAACAACTCACCTCCAGCATGACCGACACACCCCCAAACTACCAGACCGTCCTCTCAACCAGGCTTTCACCGGGGACACTGCTGCTGGAATATAACCAGCCCAAGATCTCCAACGCCTTCACCCTCCAGCAATACCACGACTTGGCCGACGCCCTTCGCTGGGCACGCAATGTCCCCGAAATCAGGGTGATCGTCCTCACCGGCAAAGGGAAGCACTACTGCGCTGGGAAAGTGCTGCTCCCACCGGGCCAAGCAGGACCGACAATCGAGCAGGAAATCGAGGCAGGTCGTAAACTCGGGGACGAGCTACAGGGCCACCCGAAAGTGCTCATCGCTGCTGTCCACGGCGCGGCCATCGGATGGGGATGCACGCAGCTGTGGAATTTCGATCTGGTCTATGCTTGGGAGAAGGCCGCCGTGTTCCAGACACCCTTTATGAGTCTGGGTTTCGTCCCAGAAGGGGCGTCGAGTTGGAGTTTCCCCAAGGTCATGGGCAAACAGCGTGCCAACGCGCTGCTGTTGGCGTCCGAGAAGCTCAATGCGCGGGAGATGTACGACGCGGGAATGGTGACCAAGGTCATTGGGGGTGACACGGTCGACGCGTTCCGAGACGAGGTCTTCAAGATTGCAAAGAGAATAGGCACCTATAGCGCAGAGAGTCTAAGAATGGCCAAGGCGCAGGTCAATCGGCCTACCGTGTTAGCAGAGCAGCGAGAGGCGGGAATGTGGGAAGCGGTGGATCTCAAAGTGAGGCTGAACAGTGATGAGGCCAAGGCGGCGATGAAGGCTTTCATGGACAAGAGCAAGCCAAAGCTGTAATCAGTCTAATGTCAATGAATGTAATATGAGATGGCAGTTTTGTATGCAGTTTGGCTGTCAACAAAGGACACATGCGGGGCTGCCGGTGGTGATCGAGACGAGCCTTGCTGACATAATTACAATACGGTGGAGTAAAAGACTCTCGGTCCCGCACTCCGAAGGCCTCGAAATTTAATTTTCTCAAAATTCTCAAATGCGGTGGCGGACAAGATTTGGTGCGGCCAGTATCATTTGTGCCCACCTCACTTCCTCTTCCCCTCTTTCTACAGACAAGTGGAAGTACTCAAAGGACGGTCAACATGAGCAAACATAAACTCGAAGATGAGGCCGCTCTATTGGCCAAGCAAGAGCGCAAGAGGAGGAAGAGAGACCGCAAGGAAGCCCTGCGTTTACAAGACATCACACCGTCTTCAACTGAGGCCACAGCCAACTCAACCCCTGTCCCAGAGGCCAAGGAGGATACCACCGCCGATGTCAACGGTTCTACCGTCCCCAAGCCTGTATCAGCTCTTGGAAACCTTCGACAAACCGAAGTCGATAATTTCTTAAAGACACAATCCGTGCAGATCTTCGATCCACAGAATACAGATGTACAACCTATCCTCGCCTTCTCGCAACTCCCACAAGATTTGGCCTCTCAATTCTCGGACATCTTCTCCTCCTTCCAAAAGCCTTCGTCTATCCAGTCCGCCGCTTGGCCCTTCCTACTAGCCGGTCGAGACGTGGTCGGCGTGGCAGAGACAGGCAGTGGAAAGACCCTGGCATTCGGCCTGCCTCTCGTCGTCCGTCTGACCTCGCAAGAGAAAATGAAGGGTATCAGAGCAGTCATTGTGGCACCGACACGGGAACTTGCCATCCAAGTGTTTGAACAGTTGGATAGGCTTAGCAAAACAACCCACAAGCTCAAGGCCGCATGCATATACGGAGGAACCAACAAGGACGAGCAGCGTCGCAGCTTGAAAGGTGTAAATATCGTCGTGGCAACTCCAGGTCGACTAAAGGACTTCATGTCCGACGGCACGGTCGACGTCTCCAAGACGCGGTATCTGGTCCTCGACGAAGCAGACCGGATGCTCGATAAGGGCTTCGAAGACGACATCAAACAGATCATTTCCCAAATGCCGTCCTCAAAGAAGCGACAGACGGCCATGTTCACCGCCACGTGGCCGAAATCGATCCGCGAGCTGGCGGCGACGTTCATGCAGCAACCCGTCAAAATCACCATCGGGCGCGAGGACACCGATGACTCTGGAGAATTGAGAGCTAACAACCGGATCGTGCAGAAAGTCGAGGTCATTGACGGCATGGAGAAGCAGCAGCGTCTATTGCAGCTGTTGAAGCAGCACACGGCAGGTCCAAAGCGCAATGACCGCATCCTGGTCTTCTGCTTGTACAAGAAGGAGGCCCTCCGGATCGAGAACTTCATCCGGTCGCGCGGGTTCAACGTCGCGGGAATCCACGGAGACATGTCGCAGTCTGCGCGTATCAACAGCTTGGAATCGTTCAAGTCGGGCGCCACGACGCTCCTCGTGGCCACAGACGTGGCAGCTCGAGGCCTGGACATTCCGGAGGTGAAACTCGTCATCAACGTCACCTTCCCTCTGACTGCAGAAGACTACGTCCACCGCATCGGCCGCACGGGCCGCGCCGGCAAGGACGGCCTCGCGATCACATTCTTCACCGAACAGGACAAGGGCCTCGCCGGCGCGCTGATCAACGTCCTGAAAGCCGCCAAGCAGGACGTGCCCGAAAATCTGTTGAGGTTCGGCACCACGGTGAAGAAGAAGGTCCACAGCGAGTATGGCGCCTTTTATCGTGAGGCAGAGGAAGGGGAGAAGACGACCTCGACCAAAATCACCTTTGACGATTGATATATAAGATGTGTGCCTCTCTAAAATAGATCAAGTTTTTGTTGCATGGTTATTTCGTAGCTTTGCCGGTCGATTTTGTTGGAGATGGTTTCAAAAAGTTCGGAATCTTTGCAGCAAGGCGTTGTGGGAGGACGGATTCGAGGAGCTCCAAGAGGAATTGGCGCTCGGTGATGAGACTAGAAAATCATTCGATCAATCAATCAGATGGAACTGGCTAGACATGTGGACGAGACTAGATGATAACCCTCCCTAGAAACGAAATGCAATTGCAAGAGAGAAACAAGAGGGCAAAGACTCACATGGTAGAACCAAGAACCACAGCGTTGCTGGTCCAGATCCCTAGAAACTGCAGATCCAGCGACCCCTTGCCAGCGTCCGTGGCCGTAAAGGAAGCACCCACCCTCAGGCCCAGCATCACGAGCAGCGTGACGGCGATGCTCGCCTTCGCGGGCACCGCTTCCTTGAGCAGCATTGCGCCAGCCCGTCCCTTCTGCCCGGACTCGTCCACGCGTTGCGTGACCCAGCCCCTCAAAAACCACAAGCTCCACAGGATCCTCAGGGCCATATTCACCATGTTCGCGCCTACGAGGCCGACGCTCCCCAAATCCCACAGTCTCAACATGGCCCATGCCGCGACCCCGTAGATTCCCGTGAAGACGAGCATCCAGAGACTCTGGCTCCGCAGCTGTGCGGGAGAAGCCACGCTCGTGACGAACGCGTCGAGGATCCCGTTGACCGCCATAAGTGGGATGTAGTAGCAGTAGGTGGACAGGAGGAGAACTGTCGAGGGAGTGCGCCATTGCGGGGAGAGGACAAAGGGGATAACGGTGGGAAGGATTTCAGGAGCAAGGCTGATCAGGGGCAGAGAGAAGAGGAGGTAGACGTGGAGGGTCGTGTAGAGGTAGGATAGGCCGCGGCGGGTATTGTCGTTCTCCTGCGGGAGGCTCTTGTTTTGCGAGGCCGAAGATACCAGTTCTTTGTCACTGCTCGCCGGAGATGGGGAGAGAAGCCGTCCAAAAGTATTGCGACTACTCTCCTCCACAGGCTGAAAGACCAGACGCGCGAGCAGGCCGCCGTAGTTGGAGGCCAGAGCAAAGGCACCTTGGTCTGCCAGCGTGGAAAAGAAACTCATCATCAGGGCGTCGCCTTGGGTGAGGAGCAACTTGAAGATCGACTGCATGTACATGGTTGCCGCTAGGGAGAGGACGGTCTTGTGGAAGACTTTGAAGTAGTAGGTCTGGTCTGAGGAGGCCAAATGTATTCGCTTTGCTATGAGGCTGAAATGTTCAGCTCTCAATAGCTTTATGGTTGGGAGGAAGTACAGAGCCAGGAGGGTGATGGCGAATGCTGCCTGTCCCACGGCAAAGGGTAAAATCGACGGAGCGACGCCCTCCTGATGTCCAACGACCGCGAAAATACAAGCTGCAAGACATCTTGCCATTGCGGCACAGGTCTCTGCCCGCGCCCTGTCCCTGTATAGAGCTTTCTGCTGGATGACAACAAAGGCTGGTTCGGCAAAGAGTTCGACCAGCGTCGCCACTGCGTAGATTCGGAATGCAATCTCGAAGTAGGGACTGTCGAGGACTTCGTCCGATGCGCTCCGTAGATATGAGAGACCGAATAATGTGGAAATACCCAGTCCCAAGAGTACAGCCAGATGGGAGAGGTTGACAACAGTTTGTGTCTCGATCCCCACCGCATTTTGCTCTTGCTTTTCAGATGAATTGGCACTCGATGACTGTGCAGAGACGCGCGGCCGTTGTAAAGCCACACGAAGACTCTCTCGTGCAAAGTACAGACTGGTCACGGAGACAAGTTCGAGTTGGACGGCGATGCCCAACAACGATGGAGATAGAAAGCGAAGAAGGAACTGGTTGCCGAAGAATGTGAACGCTCTGGAGGCAACTTGGATCAAGATGAGCAAGAGGGTACCATTTCCAGGCTGGCGAGATGCTTCAACGCTTGACATGTCGAAGTCTTGAGATGGAATGAATCCTGGTGGTTGTGAAGAGGCTCTGAAAGTTGGTCGTCAGAGGAGGTGATCCTCAAGGAAAAACCGCTCCTGGAGGACCACTGTCAACTTGAATTGGTGAGCATGTTCACCGATGCCACTCAAGGATAGCACGTCGATAACCTTCTCCGCGAGAGTCAGCCTGGTTGAGATGTTGAAGGATCGGGAGAAACGTGGCCTTTCTAGTAATGCTCCGCTCAGCATGAATGGGGCAATATCTCCTCGTAAAAGACCGAGGAGTGATATGGCTCTATAAACTCTACCATACCACTAGATCAAGTGATGCCTCTTGCTTGTACTGTACATTAAATGTAGAGGCTACTTCGAGATTGACGCTGTCAAGGCGACAGCACGAGGTCTATCGGCAGTAGTCTATGACTTTGCCAACCCATCAACGCGCTGCAACGCACGGCGCATTTCGATATGGGGAGACACCTGATCAGGCTCACATTTCAATGCCTTTCGATCTACATCAGAGGGGTCGGTTCCCTGATCGACTGCACGACCTTGAAACCTGTTGTTCTCCGGTTGATGCTCCTTTGCGCCATTGCCCTTGTCCTGCCACATTTATGCCTGGTTGGATGGCCTTGGTCCATCAAGAAGCCTGATACGGCAATGATGATACATGTTCAACTTTTTCAGCTTAACCACTCTCATACCTCGTCCACGTCCATCTTCTCCACGACCACCAGGCTATCCGAGTCACTTCCACTGCCAATCTCATGCACAGTAACATAGCGTCCAATCTCCTCCTTTGTGATGACCTTTTCATTCAAAACCGCAGTCGTGCCTCGTGCAAACTTGTAGTTGCGTTCCTTCTTTACCCGCTCGTTTGGTTTGATGTAGTTTCGCAACAGCTGCGACGGTTTGTCCTTCTCAATCACACAAACATCGACGTTGCTCCCCGATCCCAGATCATTGAAGATACCGGCCAAGATTGCGTCTGAGCAGATCTTGATGGCCTCCTCTCTGTTGCAGTTTCTCTTCCACGTTGATTCGAAGACTGCCATGGCCGCAAGCGAACCGGAGCCCATAGTCACGTAGGGGAGCTTGTCTGTTGATCCGTGGGCATGTACGGTGAATAATCCCACACCTGTGGGATCAACACCCGCAACAACCAGGTAGGCACCAATATGGCCTTGGTATCTGAACAGGTGCTGCTTCAGCATTGTCATCACGGTGACCACGCGGGGTGTGCGGCCCGTGGAGAGGGAATGTAGTTCGAGATTGGAGGAGATGAGAGCGGTGGTGAACTCGGTGTCTGCTGCAGTGCCGGCACCAGCGCACCAGATATTGGGAGAGATATAATGCAGTTTTTCACAATTCTGCGCGAGGTCAGAAATGGTCACCGGCTTCGCCAGCCATAGTTAGGGGTGTACCGACCTTGTCTGCGACTATAGGTCCGCTTGTGGCTCTTGTGTCTGCGGCGATCTACTCAGCTAGTCAGGCGTGCGCAATTCTCACGAGCAGTTGTTGAAATTAGATTTGCTCACATACCACCACACCATTGTCAAATATGCACCCAACGATAGTTGTCCCTGTACTAGTTGCCTTTGGTAACGGAACACCCCGTGCATGGAGGGCTGCGTTGCGATTGTAGTTGCTGAAGTCGAAGCCGGGCATTCTTGCGGCGGAGGCGCAGAGCCGTTATTGGAGATAGTAACTGCGAAAAGACGACCGAGCTCAGATAAATTGTTTACGCGGAGATTGATGCTGATCGTAGGACTTGATGATCGGGGTGTCAAAACAGAGAGATGGGTGTACCAGGGAGAAGAAGCTGGAAGAGACAAAACACTGTTGGTTAGTGAGTGTGAAGGCAGCTTTCGTGATGCGCAATACTCCAGAGGACGCGGCAACGCGAGGACTCGCTGCTTAAAGCGGACGATTTACACTAGCCCAATTTAGTAAGACATCAGCCTTACATTCTTCTATGTAGTAGCATCAAGATAAGTCTTCTCTCCTCTCTACCTAGGTGATTATCTGTACTCAAGTTTGCTTTGTGGACTGCGTTGATGCCTGTGGGTTGTTTGAGATACCGCTGGACTCGGCAGCAAGGGTTTAGGCAGAGAATCCATCCAACAGACATCAGACGCCGCTGAAGTCCAGCCTTTATCCACCTCTTCAGGCCTTGGGCTCTATAAGCTCCTGCTCCTGCACTCCGCTGGCCTTCTCAGTGCTGGGAGCCCGTTGCCGAAGTTCATTCTCCTCGTCTTGTTGCGCAGCCTTCTCCATCTCCTCCTTCTCAGCTTCGGTGGCGCCAAAGTAGTGGATGGCAACCTGCTCGCCAAATTGGGCATTGATATCTTCCTAGAATACGGGTCAATACAAAGTTGGATATCCGAAGGAATCATGTTCGAACATACCAAGCTTCGGCCCTTGGTCTCAGGGCACATGAAGTAGACGAAGACCAGGTGGAAAGCCGTAGGGATGATCATGACCAAGAAGAATTTCCAGCCGATATTATTGAGCGCGATCGGACCCGCAACAAGCAGGATGATGTCTGCCAGGTAGAGACCACACATACCGACAGCCATACCCTGGCTACGAATATGCGTCGGGAATATTTCAGACCTTCCATTCCATGTCAGTAACCAGGATTGACTCCACTTTGGTCGACAGAGGAAGACTTACACATAGAGGAATTGGCTGGCGTCCATGAAAGTCGACCAGAAAGGTGTAATGAACTAGAAATTAAAGGTCAGTAAGAAAAGGAGCTCAAAAGGCAAATGCAGGTGCGTAATTTCGATAAGTGGAAGTTGCTGATTGAGAGCCAAAAACTCACCAAGAATATGAAGAAGACTCCGAATCCCAACGCCACATGGTTGTCGGTGCCTAAGTAGGTTGCTTGGATGGCAATTTCACAGATCAAACTGACAAGGATACCACTCAATCCTATGATCATGAATCTCCGTCGGCCGAATCTTTCCACGAAAAAGGCACAGAAGATGTTCCCAGGGAACTATAAGTATAGGTTAGTGTGTGAGAACAGACAAAAATCATCAGATCCATATAACTGGCGCAGATCTGGGAGACTTACGGTTGACAAGACCCATAAGGCACTGAGTAGTAGTGGCATATAACCCGTCATGCCGAGCTGAGTGTAAAGAATGACTCCATAGTTCGCGATGATCAAGACTCCCGTGAATTGGTTGTTCCACATGAGTAAAAAGGCCACGAGAGCCCGCCTCCGGTTGGGCGCTGTCTTGAACACTTCCCACTTGGAAGTGGTGGCTTTGATCTGATGGTCCAACTCAACCTGCTTCTTCATCTGATAGTACTCCTTGCGGGCAAGAGAGTCATGAGGGTCACCCTTCGACCTGTGCAGGCGCTTGATTACTTCGTGGGCCTCGTCGTACCGCTTGTGCATCATGAGCCAACGAGGGCTGTATGGCAGCCACGGAGAGCCCACGAGAAGGAGGAGGGCGGGGACCATCTGAAATGCGATGGGGAATCGCCATGGGAATGATGACTTTGAACCGCTTTCCGATACAAAGTATACTCCAAAGCCGATAAACCCAGAAAGAGTGTAGCCCATGGCGAACATAACTCCCTATGGATCGTCAGCAACGGCAGAATGAGCCACGAGACTGTTTGAAAGCGCTTACATGCATCGACACCATGAAGCCGCGACTTTCTGGTGTTGACACTTCGGCCTGGTACATGGGAATAGCCGTCACCAAAGCACCAATCTATAAGATGGTTAACACGGTCATTAGGCATTGAGACTGGAGGCAGGATCATCGAGCCCCCACAAGGTCGTCACGGAATCCCCGGAGACTTACACCAAGGCCGTTGATGACACGACCGACCATGAACATGGCATTGTTTACCGAGCCTGCGCAAATAGCTGCACCGATAACGAGGATGATTGCTGCCACTTGAATGGTGTGCTTGCGACTATACTTGTCGGCGAAGTAGGCACAGGCTGCTGCGCCAATAGCAGACCCAGCGGAGTTCACACCTAGACAAACGGGATGTCAGCACGTCTTCTTGTCTCTGCATGCGAGTTGGGGGAATCCACCATTGAAAGCACCGATATATTCAGTGGTTCGACCATAGCCTGGTTCGCCCGCAGGAGCAAGTTTCAGAGACTCGTAGAAGCTCGGCTGTCCTATCGTAGAGCTGAATGTGTGTCAGTCTGTTGACTTGAGATAAAACGAAATGAGCATGTCTTACCCTATAATGGCCATTCCATAGGAGCACGCCGTCGAACCCAGCGCAACGAAGATGACAACTGCCAGATTAAAGGCATTGGGAATGAGTTTCCCCATTATGAGACAAGACGTCTATTGAACGTATATACCCAACTTTGAGGCTGTGAGACTCTTCTGCAAATACAAAGGCGCCTTCTGACCAGAAGATAGAAAAAAACGGAGAACCGCCTGACAAGATTCAGACCGCGTGCATGAGCTTTATATCTCGACCTCGGGCGTGCTGATGGGAAACGCCGGATTGCAGGGACACGCCACGAGGTACTCGGTACATGGTCGAGTGGTGTCAACTGTTCTGCGAGTTAAGAGAAACAAAGGCAAATGGTTTGTCACAAAACACTAGGCATCCAGTCCTGATAGGGAGCAGTCCTGTAATTGATTGGATCTCCTAACATGCTTCCCTGGTCAGACTTTGAGATGTGGCCGAGGCCTAGACCTGCGGAAGGTCAGTAGAACCGTCTAAACTCAAGACGGAAGGGTTCCGACAAGGCCAGAAGCGAGAACCAGGTTCATGGACGCGATAGTGATTGGCTTATGGCCTCATGGTTCCAAGTCCAGCCTGCGGACTTTCGCCGGCGAAAGTGTGGAGGGTAGAGGATGAGGTCTCGAATACCCCAGGTTTGTGGGGAACCCACCGAGGTCAAAGTCTCGAAACGGTTAGGATTCTTGCAAGCGGCTTCTTGGACTCCGATGATGGCTGAACATGATGAACTCTGATAGTGTCTTAGCTAGACTGGCCTGACTGGGTAAAAGGGGGGTAATTTGACGAGTATCCTCGGCTAGGCGGTCAGGCCTAAAGATTCGCGCTCGATGAGGAGAAACTCATGGCAAAAACAGAGATTGGCTTCCTGTACCGAGTAGATATTGATTGAATGGGTATTTCCCCAGACCCCAAAGTGACGGGTGGCTTGCGCCACGTGTTGGCACTGCGAATCATGGCAACATCTTCCGGGTGTCAAGACGAGGACCAAGCATACAAGTAGTTCCACCGGAAGAGAGAGTCAGAGAAAGACGACTCGGAAGAAGGATCCATTTTTTCATCCACCACTTTCCGTGGAGATATGCAGCCCCCTGTCGGAAGCCCGTCTCGCCATGTTTGGATAGACTTGAAATATGGTCGAGAAACTTCCGAGGCGATATGAACGAACCTCCGAGGGGATTCTTCACTTGTACGTGCCAAGATGTGTGACAAGATGGATTTCCCAAAGGCTGTCCAAGAACCTCGCTGCTATGTGTTGTAAATCGCATGTGAATTTTGTTCCAGGTAGCTAAACGCAGGAAAGAAGGGCTCCGTGACTGAAGACTTCGTACACTTCGGCTTGTGTCTCATGGATCAAACTAGACGAGCTTTCAGTAGCGGCAAAGAGAACCTCAAAGACAAGCCTTAAATACGAGGCGATTGGCGTAGACAAGGAGAACAAGGACTACAAGCGACAGTGGCACCAGTGGGGGTTTTGTAAGTTGAACATCGTAGTTGGAGTTCCGGTTGGAGTTCCGGTTGTAGTGGTGCCAGTGGGGATTTTGTGCTCGGCAAGTCGGTAAAGGGTTGAGGGTTTGGGGTTGATCACCCACTGTCCACAGTCACAATCGCAGCCGTAGTCATTTGTCGCAGTGCAGTTGCAGTCCCACTGATTCGCCGTACGCTACGGTTTCGCACACGAACGCGATATCGCAATGCCTCGTCGCGACTTTTCATATTATTTGGTTTCCGCAGGCTGTCGCCTGGTCGGGTCAACAGTTACGCACTGCTCTTTTGTCCCATCAAGAAATGATGCGGATTTCCCTCGCTGCCTAAGTCTCTATGACTGTTCCTCAAAATTGCTGAACCCAAGAAAACCCCATCGGTTTGGAGGCCCAGGGCACTCCTGCGACATTCCTTTACCTTCACGACACCAACTCCAAGACGAAATCTTTCGAACACGCATGTCTCATCCCCCTTCTCGCCCACTGACGCAAGACGGTCGCTATCGGCCGAACTACCGCGACTGAGGATGGCGTTTAGTTTTTCGAACGCCGTGTCAAGCGGCTCACCTGTTGGTTCTCTTGGTGTAAATGTCAAAGAGGGAGCAGAATTACAAGAAATTCAGACAAACGAGCTGGGGTTTGCTGCCCTGAATGGCGAGTCGAAAGTTCAACTGCTTCCAACGCCATGGCCTGCCGACAGTCTTCCCCCTCCCTCGTCGTCATTACTCAGTGTCGCATCAGCCAGAGGCCTGCTAGCTGCTGCAGGGCCGGATGCCGTCTACATCACATCCACCACCAAGATCCGAGAAGCTTTCCGCTCTCCACCCCCTGAGAAGAGCCAGACGAGGCAATTCCAACCAGAGATCAGGCTACCATGTCCGCGAGTCTCTCATCTCGCGTTTTCCTGCGATGAGAGCGTTCTCGTTGTCTCGACCTCAGCGGGAATCGCAGCCTTCCAGGCTGAAACCTTGCAGAAGGGCAACCTAACTCCTGCGTTGGAGATACCCATCAACGGTCAGAACCTGCGAGTAGTTGCGCCAAATCCGGTCGTCGAATCTGCGGAGCTCTTCGCTATCATCACCGCCAATGGCGATCTCATGCTATTGGACTTGAAGGCTGGAGGTATTAAATCTGGCAGTGAAGGCAATGTGCTCAAGACAGGTGCAAGCTGTCTGTCGTGGAGTAATAGGGGCAAGCAATTGGTTGCAGGCATGGCGGACGGGACAGCAGTCCAGATGAAACCGGATGGCACTGTGGTTGCAAACATTCCCAAGTCAACAAGCATTCCGCCAGACTCGCACGTCTCTGGCATCTCGTGGCTCGAGAATGATACCTTCTTCATCATTTATACGCCCAACAGTACAGGCGACGAAGTTCCGCCATCAGAGTACTACATTGTGCAGAGGGAGCCTAAAACAACAAACTACACATTCCAGAAACTCCCAGAGATCCTGCCGCCATTCGGGATGGCCAGATTACCTGCTTTCCATTTCATCTCGAGACTGAGAAACTTTCCGCCCCATATTCAAGACTTGTTAATAGTGACTGCCACGACCGCTACGGACGTCGGGCTGATATCCAAGTCGGACCAAGCCTTGTCACAAGAAGATCCAGTCGTTTCAGCATTTACTTTCACCACGATCGAAGATGATACGAGACGCGCTCAGCTTCCCCTATCCACAACTTTCCAGGACACTTCGCCTATCGGTATGATAGTGGACTTGTCCAGTTCTGAAAAGGTTCCGAATCCGATCCCCTCAGACCCGGAAATTGAAGAGACAGCTGGACCTGTACCGTGTCTGCTCGTTTTGAATAATGAAGGTATTCTAGTGGGCTGGTGGATTATATACAACGAATCGGTCCGTTCAAAGACTCTTTTCTCTGGGTTTGCGTCTGTACAAGCCGCAAAGGAAGGCTCAGCACCTGCCGTTCGGTCCCCATCACCAGCACCAGCCGCTGCCGCTGCGCCCTCCTCTACATCTGGTGAACCACGTTCTACTGGTCCTTTCGGACAATCTTCAAGTGGAGGCTTTGGCATGCCAATAGCCCCGGCACCCTTCGGTGCCCCGTCTGCAAAACCATTTGGGACTTCCTCCCCAATCACATCTGACAAACCTTCATGGGCCAGTACGGGATTTGGCTCTACCGCTGGTGCAGCATCGACACCGGCCTTTGGAAAGGCTGCATTTGGTTCAGCTACACCTATGGGAGCGGCCAATCCCCCTGCCTTTGGATCAGCGAGTGCCTTGGGAAGTCGAGCCTCCGCTTTCGGACAGCCCTCGACGATCGGAGGGACACCTGCATTTGGACAGACTTCTGCCTTTGGTCCCGCTTCCACCTCGAGCCCGTTTGCGAAAGCTGGGGTTGACTCCAGCAGCTCAGGCTTTGCCTCGTTTTCAAAAGGAGGAGGCTTTGCTTCTTTTGCGGGAGACGCCTCAGGGCAAGGCAGCCAAAGTCCTTTCGGTGCCGCAAGTAGGACGGCTCCCTTTGCTCAAGCACCAGGGAATGTATTCAGCTCCAACAAATCCCAAGATTCACCCTTTGCAACCAAAAAGCCTGGTGATACCCTCAGCTCTTTTGGGTCGGCAAATGCTTTCAAGGTGCAGTCCTCATTCCGGGGGGATGGGACGGCGAAAGACGACCTACCACAGCCCAAAGAACCAAGTGGCTTTTCCTTTGGATCCTCATTTGGCGATATGCTAAGCGACAATAAATCCGCACTGTCGCCCACTCACAACAAAGAAGAGGAAATGGACGAGGAAAGCGGACCGACTGAGGCCGAATCTGATAGAATTCAGGATATGTCGACCCAGAGATCTTCACCCGAGATCTCAATGAAACCTCCTCAGACATTGGTCACTCCTCCTTCCACCCTTACGCAACCCAAAACTACTCCCGTGCCAGCTGTGTCCACAATATTCGGCCCGCCACCGAATCAAAGTACAACTCCATTGGCCCAAAATAACACCCCGGGATGGTCATTCAACCCCTTGTCCTCCACAACTCCCAAAGAAACCCCAAAGCCCTCTCATTTGGCCATGTTTGGCTCTCAACCCATAACCAAAGAGACACCAGCCGTCGTACAAAAGAGCGTACCGGCATCTACTTTCAATTTTATGGGAGCACGTCCAGAGATCAAGAAGGAACCTGCAAGCGAGGACGAGCCTGTTGATCTCAAGACCATTCCTGAGGCACCGCTTCCTCCGGATACCGTCAGCAAGCCGCGATATGTATCGGGGGAGACATCAGCTTCATCACATGCATCGAAAACACCGCCGGACGACGCACCTCTACCGCCAGACTTCCTTCCAGTGCCCAGGGCAGGTCAGGTAGAAGAGGCCAACCCAGAACTACCGGAGGACGACGAAGAAGATGACTTCAGTTCCGACTTCGAGGACGAAGGAGAGGAAGTCGAAGAGAGTCCAGAGGAGGATGTTACAGAGGAACCAACAGAGCATCTAGAGACATCTCCGGAGAGCTCGTTCAAGAGCGGCGACAGGAGTCCAGAAACAAGTCCTACGGGTGGATTGTTTACAAAGGTTACTCCAGCCTCCACAGCTCCCAAACCCGCCAGACCGCTCTTCGGCGAAGTTGGTGCTGGACCTGTTTTCGCACCCCCCAAACCACAAGAAAGTCCACGCTCGCCCAGCCCCGTGAGGCAGGCCTTTTCGATCGATGGTCTTCGAGCAGATACCTCGAGATCGGTTAGTGCACCGGCGCATCCTCGATCCATCATCGATCAACGAAAAGCCGAATACCAGAGATCTGGACTAGCCGCTCAAGCTGCGAGGACCAGGGAGGAAGAGGCAGCCAAGGAGAAGGCTCGTCGCGAAGCTCTTGCACGGGAGAAGGCGCAGGCGGATGCTGAGGAGCTCGCACCGCTCGAGGATGACGAGGATGAAAGGCTACGCCAGGAGCTGGAGAGGCCCGTTACTCCCTCTGAAACATTGGACGATTTCGTCACATATCAACCCCGACCCCGCGAGGAGACACAAAAGACTGGCATACCGGCACAGATCGAGCGGCTGTACTCGGATATTAACTCAATGGTATACACCCTAGGTATCAATTGCCGCTCGCTCTCAGCGTTCCTGCAATACCAGCAACCCGAAGCAACCAATCAGTCATGGCCAGCCGTGCTCAAGTCTGAGACACCACTGGATGCGTTGAATGATGAGCTTCTATTGACAGATATTGCAAGATTGCGCGAAGGATACGCGGTGCTTTCAGATATGCTGGCGGACTGCCGTGTAGGAGACTACATTGAGAAATCCGAACAGGCGCAAGCTCTGATGAAGCGCGAGGTCTTCGACTTGAGGAACAAGCTCATATCCATACGCAAGACGTTGCATAGTCTGTCAGCTAGCGACGGTGCAGTGAACGCACCTCTTACTGCCGAGCAGGCTTCCATCCAGCATGATCTTCGCAAAACGTTTACGTGTGTGCAAACACAGATGATTCAGGTTGAAGATGGGCTTTCCGTTCTTCGCGCGAAGCTCGCACAAATAGCTCCAGCCAATGGCACCAGCCAACCAGGTGCTCTGGGACGGGCGGCGTCACGCAAGAAGCCGACTGTGGAAGCTGTGACCAAAACTGTGGAAAAGATGATGTCAATGGCGGAACAGAAGAGTGCAGATGTCGACGTTTTAGAAGCGCAGCTCAAAAAAATGAGTGTGTCCCTTGGAACTTCAACGGTCAACAATGGTGACTTGTCCAGCGTCGTCCCAAGCACTCCTCCCCATAGCCGACAGATGGGTAGCGTGGCCACACCGAAAAGTGCAGGCAGTGTCTATCATACGCCAGACTCTAAGTTTGGCAGCAGCACGCGTTCAGCCCGAGGTTTCAGGACGAGTCAGAATGGAGGATTGAATATGATCTCGGTAGAGGACAAGCAACGATGGCAGGCAAAGGCGCGTCGTCGCAAGGACGCTGCGATCATGTTGAAGGAGGTGTTGGGAGAGAAACAAAAGGGAATTATCAAGGGCACCAAGGGTTGATGAATTGGACAGGAGGTTCCGCCACATACTGATGTGGTATTAGGGAGATCAGGAATCTGTACTGTCGACAATATTTGCCGTCTTGGAAATGAGATGAACTTGCTGTATTTGTATAAACCGAGGACACCGGCTAATATCACGTGACGGTATTCGCGATGGCGCGTGGCTTGGCAGTAATGCAATCAAAACTTCCCCCTCCCGCGCCGTTTGGTGCTTCGAAATTTGTTCATTATTCATCTTTCCCCAGTTCACCTGCCGCTCGTACGAGGTCACGGAGGTACCACGCCATCATCGCCCCCAATTCCCCTTGTCAACCTTGCAACTTCTGCATTTTCAAGGAGGCCGTCGATCGTCTTGCGATCATTTCAACCTCAACCCTTACCCCATTTCCTCATCCCTTCAGACTCTTTCGGGGCCTCAAGAACCTCCTTCGCTCGTCCTCTCTTGTATTTCTGCTCTGCGGTTCCTCCCCTGACCCTTTTACCACCTGGACTCTGCTACAGTCTCTACCTGCACTTTCAAGCTCCTCTCCTGTGCTGCCGCCTGAGTCCAAAGTCTCACTGCCCATCGTTCCGAATCCGAACCTGCTTCTCGTCGCGTCGCGTCCTTCCTCCTACGATCTTGGGCGTCTGAGTTAAGTACAGATACACCCTTCTCTTGCTGGATACAGGAAGGACAGAGGGGATCAGGACCATCTTCAAAGGCGTTGCTTTACACAAATTCACCTTCACCCACATCTCCTCATCCACCAGCACCATCACTATCTTCTCCCTCCGAACCTCTCGTATTTTCGCCCTCAGTTTCACCTCCACACGTCCTTTCTTGCACGTCATCGAGCCATTGCAGAGCACAGCATATCTCTTCAGTTCACAGACAACCCCAGCACGAATCTGAAATCATCCTCTTTTCACATACACAATCTTATCCCTGGCGCGTTCCGCACTGGCATTCGCAATTCGACCCTCTCCCCTACGCCAGCAAGTTTTCCTTCGACCACCCTTGGTGTACATAAAAAGAAATATCTCCCCGAGAACAATAATAGAAAGAAATTTACTTTGCACACTATCTTCTTGGGCAGCCGCCTCGAAACACGCGATATGTCTGCCTCACCCACCTCCCACGCCATGTCTTCAGCAAAACGGCCCTTGGAAGATCCTTCTTCACCTTCTGCCCCCACTGACTTACCAGACGCCAAACGCCCAGCGTTAGACAAGGTGGTCAGAGAAGATGCAGCGGCCGAGGGCTCTGCTACCCTCAACAGCGGACCAGCTGAAGGCCCAAAGCCCAACGAAAAGCACCCATTGCCAGCGCCTGTCACAAATGGGTCATCCGAAGCACATGTTGAAGGCGCTGCAGCAGCAGGCACCAAGGGAGCACCAGCCGCTGCGTCGCCGGAGACGCAGTCGCAAAGTGCTGTTTCCCAGACCGACCGAGCCACGTCTCAGACACCGTCTATGCCGCCGCAAGACGAGACGAACTGGATCCATATCCGTGCCGTCATTTCAAGTGCTGAAGCTGCAACCTGTATCGGCAAAGGGGGCGAGAACGTCACCCAGATCCGAAGACTCTCTGGTGCCAAGTGCACCGTGAGTGATTATTCAAGGGGGGCAGTTGAGCGTATCTTGACTGTTAGTGGTGCTCAAGACGCCGTCGCAAAGGCTTTCGGCCTGATCATTCGCACCTTGAACAACGAACCCCTCGAAGCTCCATCAACTGCGCAATCCAAGACCTACCCACTGCGACTCCTAATTCCTCACATCCTCATCGGCTCCATCATCGGAAAGTCTGGTGTGCGCATCAGAGAAATCCAGGAAGCCTCGGGTGCTCGCCTCAATGCCTCGGACTCATGCCTGCCTCTTTCTACTGAGCGCTCTCTAGTTGTACTGGGCGTTGCGGATGCAGTTCACATTGCCACGTACTACATTGCTGTTACATTGGTTGAGCAATTGACGGAACGTTTCGGCGGCCCTGCTGCGTCCGCTTATGCCACAAGAAGTGGTGGTCCAGCAGGAGTTGTCCCTGGAGGTATGCAGGTTGTGCCATATGTTCCACAACCAGCCGGGGGTCAATATGGCCATCCAGACATGTACAAGAGGCACAATACACATCCACCACAACGATTGCCCCCTCAACCCTATGGCGCCCCGCAGATGCATGGTACTCCGCAGCAGCCATATCCTCAGTTTGCTCAACCGTACGCAGCAGCGACACCACGAACTCCGAGCTATGGGGTTGGTCCACAGCAACCCGCAGCGTATGGTCAAATACCGCCTCAGCCTGCTGCTCATGGACAACCTGCTCAGCCAGCCCATGCGATGCCGGGACAGCCAATCACGCAGCAGATCTTCATCCCTAACGACATGGTCGGTGCAATCATCGGCAAAGGCGGCGCCAAAATCAATGAAATCCGGCATCTCAGCGGAAGTGTGATCAAGATCAACGAACCGCAGGACAACAGCAATGAAAGATTGGTCACCATTACCGGGACTCCAGAATGCAATCAGATGGCGCTGTACATGCTTTATTCCAGGCTGGGTAAGTTTATGGCTGAGACATCTTGACCTATTTGCGTACGCGAACTGACCACATGAACAGAAAGCGAGAAACATCGGATATAGAAGTGAGTGGAGAAGTCATTGTCCATGTGGCACGGTCACCACTCGAATCTTTCTATTTTGTGTCAAAGGCATTCTCTGCGAGCTCTGGCAGTGGTTACTAATAGGAATTCCAACCGATATCGTTGTGTGGTTCTCGCCTGGGGGACGCGGAGCGGAAGTCGCCCTATGGATGGCATTGCGAGGACGAGATGGAGGCTGGGGAGTAGGACGCTTTGTAAGACGCGATTAATTTTCCCGAGTCGAGAGCACGTCTCCGCGCCGTCGAAGACGGGGAGCCATTCGAAGGGGCTGCCAGCAGATGGACCAGTTGTCTGCCTTGTTCGCAGCTTCTTGATGATGTACCATCAATAGAATGCAAAAGTTCGTTTCTGAGTGTTTTTGGCAGACAAATAAGCACTGGAAGCTCTCGGTCCGTGCCCATTGCACAAAGCGGCAATGTTCTCTTTCCAAAGACGGTTAGTATGTGGCTTCAAAATTGCGGGGGAAATTCTGTGCAACGGTGGGGAGGCCTTGGCTTGCAGGACTTGTCATGGAGGATTCTGCTTTCTGCTCTGACATTTCCCATTCCTATACCATTGGCTTTCTTCTCATTGACGATTAGACAGTCCCTACCTCTGTGAAAACATGGCTAACTCAACCTTGCACCGAGCTCCCCCTTTCCGTGCAGAGCACATGGGTTCGCTCCTCCGCCCTCAAAAGCTCCTCGATGTCCGGGCAGCGATTCGGGACAAGAACCTGTCACCAGAAGAAGCTGGCCTCCCTGCTGTTGAGAAGGAGTCGATTAGCCAAATAGTCAAGGCTCAGCTCTCGTTGGGCTTCAAAGCCGTCAATTCGGGCGAGTATAACCGCACCCGCTTTTGGGGGTTGTTCTGGGATGAACTCGAAGGCACAATACGCTTACAGGATGCCGAAGCGAGCATGTTCCGCCTGTACCATCCCGATGTGGTATCTTTGATCGAGAAGGATCGGAAGGTCATGCCTGGGGATAGTGTAATTGCCGGAACCAAGATCAGACATGCCGGCACACAGTCCAATCTCCATGAGCTTCGCCTGGTCCAGGCTTTCGTTCCAAAGGAGGACTGGGGCAATATCAAGCTCACCATGATTACACCGTCGGTATGTTTTTCCTCTTATCACGCATGTGGCGTCACAGCCTCCGCTGGAATCATCGTAACTGATTGTCGTGCCCTCGAAGTGGTTCCATATGAGGTACAAACAAGGACGGGCATACACGCCTGAGGCATATAAGAACGATGCCGAGTACTTTAGCGACGTTGCCAAGGCATATTCAAGAGAACTCGAGGTTCTGTATGAGGCCGGTCTGAGGAACGTCCAGTTCGATGACCCGAACCTGGCATGTAAGAATCTGTTGCCTGTGCCCGTCTATCTGACATAAGATACTGATCATCGTGCGCCAACAAAGACTTTTGCTCCAAGCAATTCCGAGACGGGTGGGCCCAGGATCCGGACAACATCGGCTCTGTGGACGACCTTCTCGACGCCTACATTAAGCTCTACAATGACTCGATAGCCAAATGTCCGTCTGACATGCACACGGGTGTCCATTTGTGCCGTGGAAATTTCATCGGTGGTCGACATTTCGCCGAGGGTGCGTACGACATTATTGCTAGCAAACTGTTCCAGAACCTCAATGTCAACACCTTCTACCTGGAATACGACACTGAACGTGCGGGTGGATTCGAACCACTGAGACACTTGCCGCAGAACAAGAACGTGATTATCGGGTGTATCAGTACCAAGTTGAGGCAACTGGAAGACAAGGAAGAGATGAAGCAGCGGATCTATAAAGCGGCGGATTTTGTCGCCGAGGGATCGAACCAATCGAGGGAAGAGGCCCTCAAGAGAATCGGCATCTCTCCCCAGTGCGGGTTCAGTACTCACGAGAGTGGATATCCTCTGAGTGATGAGGACCAAGAGAAGAAGTTGAAGCTGATCAGGCAGATTGCGGACGAGATCTGGGGCGAGCCCTGAGATGGGTTTGATAGTAAGTGGTCGTGACGGTGTGCTTTTCCTTGACGTACGGTTGATATACATACATACGTGGACGGTCTGAAAGAGCATATATGTCACCAGAGCACTTCAACATTCTGGTTAGACAAAAAGGTCCAGTAGGTTCAACACGGATGATAAAAAGAAGGGGAGAGCATGTCTGAGTGAAAAGCACGGGGCTGTATCTGGTCTAAGAGCAGTCCGATAACGAGGCTGACTGATCTCATGGAACGGTCTCTATAGTCTCAACTCTCTATACTATACCAAGACACCAACGGAAGAAGTCTGTGCCTTGCCAATTGTCCACCTCAATCCATGTCGCTCCGTCATTGCACCGAGAAAGCGGCCCCGTTCCGCCTGATCGGGCTTCCAACGGTCTTTTAGTCTTTTACAAACCCCCATTCTGCCTCACGTACCGAGTATGTTCCCACCGACCCCCACAAACTCCAGAGCTCCCCCAGTTTAATGGGGGCGAATGGTAAGTCGTGTCGGGGTAATCTGCCAGGCACGGCGGGGAGGTCGGTCAAGACGCCGTGTCCTAGATTCTGACAACATTAGTGACATCTGATCTGATGTGGCACACCTCACTGACTCTCTTCCACTCCGCTTCGAAATCCGGTGGACAAGACACATATTGTTAGCTCTCGGAGCGTGCCAACCACCTTCAGACCTCGCTTTGTGCTCGTCCGAGAATGATGCACCGCTCCTGTTTCCTCCACACCGTCGGCAAATGGGGGACAAATGATGAACAGATTCCGTCGGCTCCCACACCGACGGCAAATGAATCCATGCAGGGCCACGAGAATGCTGATTACTTCCTGCATGTCGTGTGTCTTCCCTCTTGACATTCGCTCACCATCACTTTGCTGATCCTCGACTCTGGGTTCATTCTGTCCTTCCATATTATCACCGTTTGAGTGACCGAGTTCTTTGAGCGTCGCCCAGCATGACGGGAACACTGTGGTATACTCTGGGGATTTCGGCCTTTGTGGCCATCGGCACGTTTGTGTTTGTATGTCACCTGCGTGCGCGGAGTGGGATTGATTGACGAAGGCTGACTGTTGGGCGTATGGATAGGGTTTTGATACTGGCATTGCTACAACGAGTGAGTGGATATGCTGCGTAAGATCGAATACGTGCAAAGGTACTGAGATGGAGTCTTTAGCAATCGCACACCAAAGTTGGATTGACTATATGGACCATCCGTCCAAGGGGCTAACTGGTGCTGTATGTTACCACCCGCGAGGCCACTCTCTTCCGACTGAGCTTCTAAAACCCGACAGGTTGTTTCTGTCTATATCGCTGGCGAGGCGGGCGGAGCCTTGACACAAACCTTTATTGGCGATGCACTCGGTCGCATCCGCTTTTTGCAGTTGATGTCGGTGATTGTCACCATCGGCACTGTGATCCAGACTGCTTCTGTCAACATTGGAATGTTCCTAGCTGGTCGCGTCCTAGCAGGATATGCTGTCGGGTGAGTGTCAGTAGTCAAGACCTATCCTTGACCTGTATTCTCGTCCTATCACTGGTTGTTCAGGACGACAGCTGATCATCTCATCGCAAAGAGGTATGGTCGCCACGGTCCCCATCTATCTCTCTGAAATTGCCGCCCCCAACGTCCGCGGTCTCATTGGAGGCATCTCCGGGTGTGGGATATCCCTTGGTACGATGGCCTCCAACTGGGTCGGATTCGCATGCAGCTATGCTCCGTACGGCCCCGTGCAATGGCGCCTCCCGCTGGGTATCCAGATCCCTTTTGGTATTTTGTTGTTCGCAGGTCTAGCGACCTTCATGCCCAACTCTCCTCGCCAATTGATCCGGAACGGCAAAATCGACGAGGCACGTCGCGAGTTCATGAGGATCAGGAAAGATCTCACCAACCACGAGGTGCACGAGGAGTTTGTGCTCATGAGGCGCCAGATTGAGTTTGAACAGCAGAGAGAGGTCAAGAGTTTGCGCGAGGTGTTTAAGCTCTTCAGGCACAGAGCACTCACGTATGTGTGGTTCTTCTCGTCCTGTGGTGCCGACGTATTGAGAATGAGGCTGACCGATGCATAAAGATCAATTGCGGTACAGACCATGACAAGTCTGACCGGTGTCAATGTCATTCAGGTATGCTTCCCCTGTCACAGTCGCACACCCAGCACCCGAAGGTATCGCTAAGCTAACCCTTGCCTGTGGACAGTACTACCAAAGTAAGGCATATCTGCTTCTTAACCCCGGTTCCCTCTGTTGGACACCTACAAGAGATAGAGGGCCATACAACTGCATTTAGCTTACAGTCCCTCTCACTAGCAATCCTGTTCAAATCGCTCGGGATCAACAGCCATATGATTCTGGCACTGGCCTCCATCTACGGCTCGCTCGCCTTCACCTCGAATGTCCTCACCACGGTTTTTATGAATGATCAATGGGGTCGCCGAAAGTGAGTCTCTCAACCGTACTTGGTCCATTGTTCCATTTCCTATCTACTGCTTGCTTCCAAAGCGCAGAGGAATGCCATATTATCTTGTCTATCCATTCATCGTCACCTGATGGTCTAATCTATTCTCCTCGCAAAGGATGATCCTCGCCGGACTGTCCAGCATAGTAGTGATCGAGATATACGCCGCCGTCATGCAGCGTGAGTTTCAAAACACAGACAACAAGGTCGGCAAGGGATTCGCCGTTCTGGGGATCTACTTGTTCGTGGTGTCTTACTGTGAGTTGCTTCTGCACCATCCACCTACAGACGTTCCCCTAAGCTGCCTTTGTTGGCACCATCTTCCTCCAACACTCTTCATCAAATTCCCTTACCTCTTTCTCACATCATTGACACGTGCAGATGGCTTCATCAATTCTGTGACGTGGCTGTACGGCGCCGAGGTGCTTCCTGTCAACCTGCGGTCGAAAGTCATGGGTCTGGCGGCGGCGTCCCATTTTATCGTCAATGTCGGGAGTGAGTACCCCCTGCAGCCCTTTTTCAGCATATATGTTTCTTGTCACTCTCCTTGCGCCACGAGCTAACCACGCTTTATTCAAATCTCTGCAGTAACTGAGGCTGGACCTTCTGCCTTTGCCAATATCAAAGAGGTGAGTTGCCCACTCGTTCTCTGAGGGCGGTGTCCCCTCCCCATAGGCTCCCTCTTTTGGACACAAAACCAATGATTTCGTCTGTGGGGTTAGAACTACTACTACGTCTTTGTCGGCTGTTCCTTTTTCTTCCTCATCGTGGCATATTTCTACTTCCCGTAAGTTCAACCCCCCTCCCGCTCGGGGCTCTTTAGAGGATAGAGCCTGAGGACCCTCTCTTCCGGGCTCTCATCTCCATCTGCTAGGATTGTCGCTGATTCGAACTTCTGCCCCCACCAGAGAAACAAAGAAGAAGACACTCGAAGAGATCGCCGCCGCCTTTGGGGACAAGGTCGTGCTGCTCACCGAGAACGATCTCGCGGTCGAGACTGCGGTTATGGAGGACAAGGGCGGTGCTGTCCAAGTGGAGAGCGCCTCCACGGCGACGGCCAAGGTCTAGGAACATCTTTGACTCGCTGGGGCAAAGATATAGTTGTTGGTTCCTGCGACGGAAGAGAGCGTTGGTGGTCGTCCACCGGGAGTCTGGTTAGTCACGTACGATGTATCTGTCTGTCGTGGGGTCACTGCCAGTTGTGCCAGGGCTGGAGTGGAGGGGCACAACTACACTCCTACACTCAAGAGTGTATGCTATGGTACTGTCGAGATTGCACTTGTTCTTCATGTATCAATCTCGTCCACCGTAAACGATGGAGTCAACACTCGTGGCTCTCACAGGGAGTGATGGGTGATGAATGTCCAGATGTGGCTAGTGAATTTTCTTACCAGCTGTCGCCCCACACTCTGAAGCCGCTGACGCCCACTTCAAGTCTAGTGCCCTAGTACTACCACAACACCCCCCCCCCCCCCCCCCCCCCTCCCTTCTTCATGTTGTACACACTCCTCCTTGTATAGTGCCTAGGTAGGTACTGTCTCTCCTCAATACTATTCCACATCCCCGATATAACATGTACTCCCCACCTCTCATTCCATTTCATTACGTTACGTTACATTACTTGTGGCTCCGATACCAGCGTCTCTTCGACCCGATCAATCAGTGAGTGGTGTAGTGTAGTGAGTAGTGAATGCGCAACTAGAGCAGATATGATGGAGTCAATGAGAAAACCTCGGCCAGTCCAGTCTACGTGTTGCATGTACGAGGTATGGCTCTAGCCTTTTGCAGGCACGACGTGCATGGCATGGCGTAAAAGGTATCGGGATAGGCTACAAAACAGTTGAACCGTTGGGTGTTGTTCGTCTTTTGTTTTGAACGGAACATCTGATTCAGCAGCGTGGGAGAGGATCTCATTATCATGCGGGCGGAGCATTCATTCCTCGCACAACACCCGATAGAAATACTACTTACGAGCGATCCAAGGGTCCTTTCGCTTGAATTGGGGCGATCTGTCACTTTCCACAGGCCACAACACCTCCTCCTCCCGGCTTTCCCTTTCATCGAGACCCACGATCTACTGCCCCACCCTGTTCGGTATCCCCGTCATCTGCTCGGCCAACACGTCCGCCGGCAACGCAGGCCTGTCCGCGACCGATTTCCCCGCCGTGGTGCCCGCGTCGACAGGCATGATCAGGCCGGTGATCCATCTGGCTTCCTTGCTGCAGAGGAAGAGGATTGCTGGAGAGTGAGAGCGAGTGACGACGGTCAGCGCCGTTAGCATTGGTATAGATGTCAGGCAGGCTCAGACGCCCCTCTAATAGAGGAGAAGAGAAGGAGGGAACAAGGAGGGAGAAGAGAGGAAATGTACCGTATCCCACGTCCCAGCCCGTGCCTTCTTGCTTCAACATGTTCTGGTTGATCCGTGCTTGTCTCATGTCGTCGGAGATGCCGCGGCTTCTTACCATCTGTTTTCATCGGGGAGAGCGGGAATGAAGTGTCAGTAATTGTGGCTGAAAGTAAAAAAAAAAAAAAAAGAAATCTGGAAAATGCGGTTCATATCAAAAAATCATTCTGGTAACAAAAACTGGAGGTGTGATTGCACAAGATACAACGCAAAGACTGCACAAGGCCGAAAAGGGACGTACCGGAGTGAACACCATGCCGGGACACACGCAATTGACCCTGATATTCTCGGTGCCATGCTGCGCGGCCATGGCCCGTGTCATCTGAATAGTCGCGCCCTTGCTCGTAGGGTACAACAGGCTGGGATTGCCGCCGAGGAGGCCCGACACCGAAGACACGTTGACGATGGCGCCACGGCCGACCTTGCGCATCTCAGGGACCACGTGCCGCGCCATCAGGACCATGCTCGTGACGTTGATGCGCATGTCGCGGTCCCAGGCCGCGAGATCTAGTGCGGTAGCGTCCCCCATGGCGCCGCCCACGCCCACGACGTTGACCAGGATGGTCACCGTGCCGAAGAGCTCGACCGTCTTGGCCACGGCGTCCTTGCACGACGACTCGTCTGTGACGTCGGCGCGGATCACTGTGGAGATGCCGCCCTCGGCGTCAATCATGCGTTTGGTCTCCTCGGCCCACGAGACGTTGATGTCCAGGAGGGCGACTTTGGCGCCTTGCCGCGCGAGAAGAATGGCCGTCGCGCGTCCATTGCCGATTTCGCCTATATAGATCTTCAGTTTAGGAGGAGTCTGTTGGTGGTAGTAATGGTGATGAAGGGGAGACATGGGTTGGTCAAGTGGCTTACCAGCCATACGGGAGCCTGCGCCAGAGACAATAGCGACCTCGCCGTCGAAGCGGAAGGGCTGGTGGGGTATGTTGGAAGCCATTATCTCTCCTGGTCAGTTACCCGGCACAGATCGATGGTACAACTAATATTCAGTGAGTTTGAGTTAATACTCGCACGCCAAAGCCGTTATGCCCTTCTCTCTACCTGCTCAGGTCTTACCGTCGCTTGTAAAGCTTCCGATGCCCTTCTGAGCACTTGAATGGGTGTTATATGTGGCCCTCAAGCCTCACAATTGACTGCGGCCGATGCCCGCTTGCGGGGGCACCACTTGCAACATGCTTGTAGGAGGTACTTTTGATGCCGTTGTTGTGCCTGTGATTGGATCGCCGGCTCGTTGGCCGTCTTGGAGAAGAATGCACAGTTGGAGAAGAATCTGAGGTGGACATCCGACGCTGGAAAGAGGCCTCGGAAGAATTGCGTGATCGCGCCATCACATAAGATCAAGAGACAATATTCTCAAGGTGAAGAGATATCGCTCGAGACAGTACCATCCCAGACAGCAAGCCAGCAGATCTTGGACTCAAGACTTACAGTGCTCATGGCGGACAAACAAGGCTTTCTCGCAAAGCCGTCAGGCGAGTGCTGCTTGAAGGGCTCGCTCCACGAGGGGGAACCCAGAGGCCGCATTGAGACAGTCGGTGGCGTCGAGACGTACATCTCGACTCCTCAGGGCAAGAATAACGGCAACATCGTGCTTTACTTCCCTGATGTGTGGGGCTTCTTCAACAACGGGTTTCTAGTCATGGACGCCTTTGCCGATGCTGGCTACACGTGTTTCGGGCTGGATTATTTCAAAGGAGTCGGTTGACCCTTGATCTCATGGAACGGCGACCGCGATGGCTGACCAGAGTGCGCAGGACCCGGTGTGGAAACATCGCAAGGGCCGCGATGACCCTGCTCCGGGATTTGATTTTGAGGCGTGGAAGCAGAAGTACACCGTATTCGCAAATGAAGTGACCCCGGGTTGGGTCGAGGCTGTCAAAGCCCAGTTTGGGTCACCAACGACCAAATTTGCATGTGTCGGGTATGTCTTGCTTTGATAGGTGTGAGCTTCGACCTGGTCCTGGTCCTGACCATCGTGCGTGCCAGATACTGCTTTGGAGCCCCGTATGTCTGCAACGAGTTAGCCAGGGACATTTGCACCGCAGGCGCATTCGCCCATCCGGCCTTCTTGAAGGAGACACATTTCCGACAGTTGAAAAGTAAGAGAACTTGAGCCAGTTGTCGCGATCTCCCGACTAATAAGCCCCCTCAAGAACCTCTGTTTCTGTCTTGCGCCGAGACAGACCACACTTTTGGGACCGACGCGCGCAACGAAGCCATCAAGATCCTCCAGGAGGACAAGAAGCCGTACAATCTGCAGCTCTTGTCTGGAGTGGAACATGGGTTTGCGCTTCGTTGTAACCTGGACAACCCCTATGAACGTAAGTCGGCCATTTGATTCTCGGCGATATTGGACCTTGAGAATTTGATGTGACTGACTAGCCAACCGACAGGGTATGCTAAGGAGGAGAGTTTGAGGGCCATCGTCGAGTGGTTCAACTTCTGGCTGTCACAGTAAGACCAGTTCCGTGATGGAATTTGTGCACAGCAGGAGCAGACTGTAGTCGATGGTGATGGTTGGTGCCTGTATCAGGTCTATCGACCTAACAACCTGCCGTCTCAGGAGCGAGTGTTCGCTCTGTATGCTCTTCCTCTTGCCACTTCATGTTACACCTCGAGTTTCTTTCCTTTTCCAAGAACCATATTTCTCGTGACAACAGGTGAAAAGGCCATTGACATGACATGCAGAGGTCGTTGATGGGTTTGTTGATCGTCGACTTGCATCAGCTGACGAAGTGACAAAATATCTCGAATCCGCCAGGACTCGACCTGTGAAAGGTCGAAGCACCGAGCCACCGCTGACCAAGGAAGGATCTGCACAATTTGATCGCTCTTCTTCGTACCTATTAGCACTTGCCGGCATTCGGTGAGTATTTAATCCTCTGCTAACCCTGCATGCTACAGGACATGGACTTCGCTTGGTGGGCCTTTTGCTATCCATATGGGTCAAAGCTTGTCTTCCCGCCCCGCTGCCGCGGCCCGCAGCTGCATTTGCAGACTCGACATTCTTTTCGACATGACATGGCATCGTGGACTTGTGTGCTCGTGTGCATAGCTGTATCAAGCTCGGACGTCTTGCAAAGAAGCCACAGCATCCTCAGCTGGTCCGTCACCAAGAACCTGATGCTCCTGGAAGAATGAACACAGAGCACTTGCTCTGATCGTCAGGGGTTTTACAGCCTTCCGCAGTTCCTTCCAGAACCAATGGAGTTGTGAGTGAGGGGTATTGACTCAGAACCACCGGGTTGGTTCGTCTGTCCACGAGTCTTAAGAGCAGCTTTCAGCTGTCTAGAGCATTATCCCAGCTGAGATCCCTTGCTTATGTGGACCGGATATCTGTGAGTCCGAGTTGGTAGACTTTTCCCCCTTTCCCTTGCAGTCACAAGGCACAAGGCACATATAATGGGGCTATGATAGGCTGTGGACCCGCGCCAATGGGAAGCCTGGAATCTCCGGCCCCTGAGTGCCAAGCCTTTCCTGAGACCCCCTGAATGTTCCACCTTTCCTCGCTCTCTTGGGTCCCCCCCAGCTTTCGGAATCGTTTCAACCCCCCAAAATATCTCACAGAACCACACAAATATCAAGGTTTCGGTAACCCCATGCATACGCTCCCAAGACCTTCCAAGCCTTCTCCCAAACACTCCTTGGGCGGCTTGTAAACCAACGCAGGGATAAAAGACTTTTTGCCAACACCTGCAAACATGGCATTGCTGCCCATTTACTGGTCCTGGGACAGTGGTGATCACTGAGGCTGAAGCACCACATGTTGCAGACTCTGCCGGCTGATGGTATCCCAGCTGCATACTTTTTGGACAGGCCTTGCATGGGCTGGCGCTTTCTTTCATGGTCGAAAGTATGCGGGATATAAAGGACTCGACTCTTCTCTCGGTGGTTGGGAAGAGTCTTCGTCGCATCGCCCATCCTTGAGACCACCATATATTTGCGAGTGCCTTTAAAACTGTGTGCCTAGTTCAGCCTGATCCATCCTCTATTGTACCCTGACAAACATGGCATCTGCACCCTTTGAGATCAAAGGCCCCCTGCCTGCACCTCACTCGAATTACTACCGGCCACCCACCCCACCGGGACTGTCGTACTCGCAGTCCTTCGAGGCGCCGTTCTACATGGACGAGAAGACCAAATACATCCACCCTCCGACGTCGCAGCCACCACAACAGGCACCTCCTCCGTCGTTCAACGATGCGACCATGGTGTCGATCCCCGCCGACATGTTTGACCGGATGTTCTTGCAGGTCCAGAACCAGGACCCGGCGACAGGCGGGAGAAGCGCGAAGCAGACGTTCGCCAACCCGACTCCTCTGTCCATTGTTGGGTTTTTGCTCTGTCTGAGCCCTCTGAGCTGTGACTTGATGGGCTGGCGAGGGGCAGGTGGCAATGGAGCTGCGTCAGTGTAAGTCCCTATAACTCCCCCTTTCCCCTTTCCCCCAACCTCCCTTCTCGTACTCCAACCCGAGACAAGACAAAGGGGACAAGAGTCTGACAGATTTCCCATACAGCGGAGCCTACTTCTTCATCGGCGGCGTGCTGATGCTTCTGGGCGGCTTCCTCGAATGGGTCGCGGGCAACACGTTCCCGTTCGTCGTCTTCGCCTCGTTCGGCGGCTTCTGGTTCTCGTACGGCGCGACCCTCCTGCCCTTCTTCAACGCCTTTGGCGCCTACTCGCCCGACCCGGAGGACCTCACGGCGGGGCTGGCGAGCAAGGGCTTCAACGCCTCGTTCGGCTTCTTCATGATCTTCATGGCCGTGCTGTGCCTGATCTACCTGGTCTGCGCGCTGCGCACGAACCTGGTCTTCGTCGTCATCTTCGCCGGCCTCTTCTGGGGTTTCACCCTGTTGACCACGACGTTCTGGCTTCTCGCCGACGGCGGCGCCGGCGCCGGCACCACCCTGTACATCGCCGGCGCGAGCTTGGGCGTCAGCTGCATCGCCGGCTGGTACCTGCTGCTGGCGCTGCTGCTGAGCGCGGTCGAGTTCCCCATCACTCTCCCGCTGGTCGACCTGAGCGGGTGGCTTCGGTGGAGGAGGTCCTAGAGAGTGACAGAGAGAGAGAGAGACACTCACACACTCACACATATATACCCCGAATTTTCCTTGATGGGTCGTTTTGAGGCCAGAGAGAGACGGTCTCGATACTCTGGCTGATGAAGAAGCGCCAAAAAAATTCCCTTGTTCGGCCATAAGTGTACGATGAATGCGCATTTTTTTTTCTTTCCAGATTCACCAGTAATGTTCTGATCCTACGGGTATTTTGTTCCCATGTCCGGGCTCACTAGTAATGTTCCGAGCTTTCTGGATTTGCTTTCTCCTTGTCTTGCCCCCACGATGCCACGCCTTCTCCACGTTGTCTGCCGATTCCCCTGATCTTCAGGACGGGTACGAGCACGAATAGGAACGTCTACTGTAGACGGCGGTTGATCGACCTGATTGGATTGTTTCGCTTTCGGTGGATGCTAAGCATAGAGACTGGGGCGCACTGGGTCACCAAGACCTCAGCTACGCAGAAAGCGCTGATCCCACCCATTTGAACAAACACTCTTATCCCTTCTCCAGTAAAGGATAACCAAAAAAAAAGAATCCCCCTCCCTGTATGTAGTCCTCCAGCTAACCACGTTGTGGTTACTACGACTTGTGTGAGAGAATGGCGATGGCAGTCGAATGTATATGGTTTGCCACTAGGCGGACAGTCGTGACCGTTTCAAATATTCCCCAGCTGAGTGATGACGGCCAAAAGTGCAAAGATCACTGTTTATTCAAAGGTCAGTCTTTTTCCGCTCTCCCTCTTCCAAGACAAGGTTTCTACTGGGAGAGGACCAACTTACAGGCCGACGTCGTGATGATATACGTGGCAATGACCCACGCGGCCTCCGCGACCGCGACGTCGTCGACCTCGCCGTGGTCCGAGTACATGTACGAGAAGCCGATGGCCAGGCTCAGCAGGATGGGCACGACGCCCCAGAAGACGACTTTGACGACGGACCAGCGCAGGCGCAGCTCGAGGGTCAGCGTGCCCAGCTCCGGGTTCTTGGAGCCGTTGTTGAAGTGCTGGTGGATCCAGAGCAGCCAGCGGCCCTCGTAGTCGAGCTTGTGGGTGTTGTAGTTGCGCCAGAGCTCGGCCAGGGCGCTCTCAGTCTCGCTATCCAGTTCCGCCTCGCGGTGGTAGCCCTTGCGCGGGTCGCACTGGTAGATGCCGAAGCCCGAGACTTCTTTCAAGGACAGAGCCCTCCGGATGGGGTTCCGCAGGTACCTGTGCGCCTTGCGGATCTGCTGGAACAGCCCGTCGATCTCCATCACTCGCCGGAGGGTCTCCTTGGGCGCGATCTCGTCGCCCATGATGCCCACGACGATGTAGTAGTAGTCGAGGTGCCACGGGTGCGCGATGCGTGGGATCGTCTGTCTGGGTTCTCGCTTGGGATTTTGCCCTTCGACCGCTGCCGTGGTGCTGCTGCGGTCTTCTTGGTCCGCCGCGTCCTGCGCCTCTTCGTCAGGCGATTCTGGCTGCCTGTTCCCAGAGAGCCCGAATCGCTGCCGCGCCTGGGGCAGTCTGTCGCGGACCCAGCTCGTTTCCGACTTTCCCCATCCCTAAATGCCGTGGAATCAGGTCCATACGTCAGCCATCCCAACATACACTGCGAGAATTATCCGCGGAGGGGGGGAGATTCCAGATACTCACCACGCGAACATTGTGCATAGCGGCATCAATACCGGTCGCCGATGTCTTGTAGCTGACAGCACTGGTCAAGCTGAACCCGAAAAGGCGGAACGTGGATCGGTAAGAGTAGGAGCGGCGCATGGATCTCGCGCAGTCGGGTAGGTCTTTTTCCTCGTTGCGGTTCCATGCGAACCACGACAGCGCCGTGGAGCTGAAACCCTCATACTTGACCTTGGGCGGTCTCATCACCACCGGTGGCGGTTCCAGCTTGATCGATCTGGATGACTTGGATGTTTGCGGACTCAATGTGCTGCCGAGATACTCGGATGTACCCTTGAGGTCCTGGGTCAGAGGCGCTTCATCGAGGGATTCTGGTTCATCCGGCTCCTCGTTGGACGGGGCGAAGCGCACAGTGGCGGGAACAGCAGTAATGTTGGAGCCTTCGGGCTGCTCATCCTGTTGGGATCTGGGTATGCCAGAGGAGTCCTCCATGATTTCAACCATTATCTGTCAGTTCTTCCGGATGCTGGATCGTCAAGCGGTCAACGCCTTGCTGTTTGTGGCCAGCCTCGAGCTTCAGTGGCGCTCACAAGGCTGCGCTGATACGCACACAAATATGGCTTGTGATATGTCATCGACTCGCAATGCTTGTGACTCTGTTCAATTGCAGCGCCGCTCGAGTTGGAGGTTGGCTTGTCTCCAGGAGAACGTCGCGCTGGCCATCGTGATATTGTGTCTGTGCCACAGCCAGTGGGACGCCTTACCGACTAGTGTGACTAGCGGCTCCTTTAGTTGTTGATAAGCATGTTTCGAGCATGGCTAGTCGCCCGGAGATATCTTTACTTGCCGGGGAAGGGGAATTACGACGGTGGAACGGGACCACCGTTTGGCCTTAGCAAAGGTCTTTATTTTGAAAGTGAGATGGCTGTCGATGGGTGCTAAGTCCCTTGGCCAAGTTATTAAGACCGGCCTCTGACGGGCGCATGTAACTGCCCTTGGTCTCCAAAACCACAGGGTAATTCACATCGCGATATGCAGAATCTTTTCTCTCTCTTGCAAATGTCGATCCAGTACCATCCCCTGATTGGGAGATCGTGCGACTTAGAGAATCTGACGATCGCGATCTTTTCGGTGGATGCAAGCTCATATTGTCAGGGTTGTCAAAGTTCTGGTCGGTAGGGAGGTCTGAAAGCCACTGCGCAATAGATGGAGTGAATTCAGAATGCTTTGAGTGCGCTCGAGCTCTCTTGGTCGCTGGGAGAGATTCTAATGATGGCGCTTTTCGCTTCCTTGTCAATTCAACGTGAGAAGATTGTGTGCGATCCTAAAGGGTTTCAGCATGAGGCTCAAATCTGGATTGTGTCCTTTGGTTCAGCGACACAGAAACCCAGTGCCGGTGGTGAGTCCGAAGCCAGTCGTTTCCGGAGACGATAGCTCGCTTCATGAATCGAGCAAAAATCATTCACTCGACGATAGTGATGATGATGGAATTTACATTGCAAAATCCAGCGCTCCAGAATCTATGCCAACTAGTGGCTATTTATTTCAAGTCTCTAAGTTTCATGCGTGGTGTTGACTGTCATGCCCTAGCCACTCCCATGCGATTCCTGCCCTTGACGTCCTCTTCTCGACCCTCCAGAAGGTCCACAACCGGCAGCGATGCGCTCAAGGGGCATTCCGGAGATATAACTAGTCCCTATACATTCATTCCATGGTCTGATGTGTGCTGCTGCTCAATACCACACCTGGAGTGAGAGCTCATGCATTATTCCCTGTTAACAGAGACAGCATCAGACATTGCATCCATCCTGCTTTGTCGCTCTGTTCAATGTATGTTTGGCATGGCAGGTTGAGTAGAGAGGTATGTTCTTCTGGGCATGGGCGTGTGGCTCGGTGGTCTTGGACGTGCATATGTCATAGATTTGGCGCAAGCCTGCATGAGAACACGCAGGTGCTCCTCTTCTCCAGACGAAAACGGTACACGTGGAAATTGCAGAAGTTTCTCGACGACTTGATCCGGTTTTCCCTTCTTGCGATGTGCCGCGAGTTCGAAATATCGAGGATAGTATCCGGCGGAGGCCCAATCAAGGAGACAGATTCGCCCACTGCGCATGTAAAGCATATTCTTCAGTGCTGTATCCAGATGGCAGAGGACGTATTTCTCTTCCTGGAGACTGATCCATTCCCCTTGCCACAGGTTTATCCAGTTTCCAAGATCTTGGACCGTGTTATTGGCGGTAGGCGTACTGTTTTCCCATAACACCCCTCCTGGCTCGCCTGAGTGAAGGGGTCCGGGGAAGTCTCGACTGAGTGAATGAAGATGGTTTAGTGCCGCCTCTAGAGCCATATGATGAGTATGAGAGTGCACGTCGACTGACACGCCATCTACTCTTTCCATGACAAGATGACCAATTCTCCCTGTTTCATCATAAAAGAAGCCTACACCTGAGGTACATAAATAATGGCCGGATCAATTGTAGCTCGAGCGTGTCTTTGTGCTTCTGCTTCCCCTTCCGTCACACCTCGACCATACTTGACGACTATGTCATGCTCTGGATGCCTGATCACTGTGTTGCCACCGACAGTACGCGATACTACGGCCCATTCATGATGAGTCGCAAAGAATGTAGAGGGGAAGTCAACCGTGAAATTTGGGTTGAACATCATGATAGTCCAGCCGACGTCAAAGGCAGGATGAGTTGAGACGACAAGGCGTTCAGAATGGAGAATTCTGTCGGATTTATCTCTACGGAGCCAAGGGAGCCTAAGGACCAAGGTAGTGCGGGCGTAGGGAAGCCGAGAGACTGTCACTAAACCCTATACCCTTAGCGCACCTGGCCCGCCTTGCTCCCAAGCACCCTTTGAAGCATGCCTAGTAAAATTTGCCCTGCACCATCTCCAGCGACTCGGGTGTCTTTGAGCGATGATACAAGTAAAGTAATTTACTCCATACTACAGTCGCTGCATTGGTAGCAATGGTGCCGTTCTCAACCAAGTCCTGAGCCACATTTTTAGCCAAATCCTTGTCCTTGGCCAGCTCTTTGAGCTCGGACAAATCCTTGATCACGACATAGCTAAAGCATAATGTTAGCACAAAATCTCACCATCAAAAGTTTCAACGGCGCCGTGCACTCACATCCACCATCGACATCCTTTGCCTCCCTTTAGGTCATATCGCTCTCAACCCTTGAAGTACATAACGGCCGCGATATCTCGGATGCGTGTACTCGCTCTGCATGGGAAATCCCAGTGAGAAATGTTTGAGTTTGACTCGGTGTAAGGACAATCGCTCCATTCAAGAATTCCATTGTCGTAGCCTTCGTACTCTGCCCGCATATTCACTCTCACTGAACCAGAGCCATCTGCGAGTATAAGATAGATGGACCAGTGGTTCCAGCTGCGATCGTTGACTTTGGGCCCGTACGTATGAACCACAACACGAACTGTTGTTGCGATCCTCGCATCGCTGGAGACAACTGCTTTAGTGAGAACTGTAACCATGGTTGAGAGGAGTCACAGTGAATCTTTTAGGTGGTGAATACTCTCGGTACTGGGAAGTGTATGCTCGATATTACTAACGACGGGGATCGATGTGCGCTTGAACATCGCGAATTTATACCTGAATGAAACCATCCTGTGTGTAGTTGTGCACAGGGCAAGCGAATCCGCGGGGTGTTGACCATGTATCTCATTCAATATGGGTTGTCAAAAACATGCAGTCACGGGCACGAAAGTCCCGCCTCGGATTAGGGAATTGAGGCGAAAGGAAGGTCGAGTTGGCTCGGTAGGTTACGTCATTAACCCATGCGGTGGAAGGCCCCTGGGGTGGGAGGAAAGTCGGTGCGGATCTCATTGAGACGAAGATTGACCTTCTCACCTGGCAGGCCTGGCCAGATTGACTGAGCGGGTCCACCTACAGCTACCGCTGAAATCGTCCTGAATGCATCAACAAATTGCCGGACCAATGTCAAACCAGCCCGTAGTGGGTAAGGACCTGCTGGGAAGATAGATAAGGTTGCCTCTACACGTATGACTGCACCATGACGATGTCCGTTTCGAGATCTTTCGTGTCGATGGAGCAGAAATACTTGAAGCAATGGATGTAGGGCGTACTTAGCCAGAGTCAAGTCCACGAAATTCAAACAAATGTGCAACCCTAGACACGTAAATTCGGGCCACGTCGAACATCCCTAGTTAGAAGTTGAGAGCAACATCTTGATCTGGGAGGGCGGAGGAGGGTCAGCCTCCAATCACGTGGCATTCAATAAACGATTGCCCCATCCGGGCGTAGGCAAAAACGCGGGGCAGACATCACTTCAAAAAAAAAAAAAGCTAGTCTTGTTGCACTCAGTCTTGTGCCGTCAGTCTTGCAGCCTGCGGCCTTTTTCCTTCAGCGCGACTGTGTTGTATTCAGACTCTCACGTTAATCCTGGCAATGTCAGAACACGACACCTTTTTCAAATCCTGCGCGGACTGGGCTCGCGGCGAAAATCATTTCTCGCGACAGGGTAAACTGCTTGTGTTGAACAAATACAACATTCAGCAACCATCACTGAAAGACGTGGCAGCTCGTTATGATGCGGTAGGTGCACATCCTTTCCTTACGAATAAGCTGACGCAAACCGTAGTTCAACAACATCCAATTCATCCGTGTTTTTGAGCCGGTATTACTTGGGAAGAAGAAGGGAATAGCGAAGCTAGTCGCATTACATACAAATGAGTCCTGCACGGTTGGAGGGAAACAAATGAGCCTAGGAGAAGATTATACAATAGAACCGGGCCACAATGTACACATAACGCCACAAGGAGAATTCCTGTTAGCCGAAATGGCCCAGTGATTACACAAAATATTCCCTGCCCGAAAGAGAACCCGCCGTTCGGCTCAACACGGATCAACACTGAATCGGGTAAGGAGCAGTGTGGAACGAAGGGCCGCATCCATCGACGCCGTATCCTGAACTCAAACCTATACTATCAACGAAAAACGGTGTCTCTGAATTGGGATTCGTCCCTCCGAGATACGCACTTTCGGTCGGTTGAAACTCCAGGCCGTCGATGAACAGGGGTATCTCCGAGTTGAGATCCGTCATTCTGGGGTCCACACCGTCAGGTGGCTGAGAACTCAGGGTGTCGACAAACAATCGCTCCTCCTGATTGAGATCCGTCATCCTGAGATTTGCGCTGTCAGTTGGTTGAAAATCCAGGGTGTCCACGAAAAAAGGCTCCTCCTGATTGAGTATCGTCCCTCTAAGATTCGCGCTTTCAGTCCGTCGAAACTCTAGGCCGTCGACGAAAAAGGGTATCTCCGGGTTGGGATCTGTCCTTCCGAGATTCGCCCCGTTAGGTGGTTGAAATTCTAGGCTGTCAACGAAAAAGAGTTCCGCCTGATTGAGATCCGTCCTTTCAAGATTTGCGCTGTTAGGTAATTGAAAATCGAGGTTGTCAACGAAGAATGGTTCTTCCCGATAGAGGTCGGTCCTTTCGAGATTTTCGTTTCCAGGCATTGGAAAACTCACGTTGTTGACGATGCATTGTTCGGATTGGATGTCAATATCCGAAGTGACATTGATACGGGCAGGAAGATGGACTGCATTGTTGTTGCCGTTGGTGACAATAGCACTTTCAACATCTGGCTGATAGGAAGAGTCGATATCACGAATCCTGGTTCCGCTTATCTGTGGTTCAGAAACCGTTCCAACAAACTGAGAGTTAATATAACACAAGGTTTCAGGAGTTGTGGAATTGTTGATCTCTGCTTGAGTTGTCTTCTCCGGCTGTGAACATGCGCCTTCTATCAATTGTAACTGTAAATCTCCTTTCCGGCGGTTTATAGCGGAATTGGTTTCTGACCGTTTGCGTTTGCGACTCTGTGAGGTAGATGCCGCATCCTGGCATACAATGAGTGATTTAGTCGATAGGAAGAGTGTATCAAAAAGGCGGTTTGAAAATGCATCTGCGCCGATTTGGTCTGCGTGTTGGGCGACGCCCAGTGCCTCAATGCCGGACTCGCAATTTGCAGTGTTGTAAGAACTTCCGCCCGATCGTGGCATCATCGAATACTTGTTTGGCAACCGCTGATAGAGTCTCTCTTGTATGGAAGTAGAACTTTTTCGCGACCTCTTCACACAAGGCTTTGTGGATACCGATTCGTGGTCCCCTGGATGTCACAGGGAAGAGCTTTATGAGGAGCTTGTACCAGAATGTCTGGATGTGTCGTCTTTGAATCAATCTGACTCCCACATGAGATTCAGTGGATGCGCTCCGATCGTAAATCTGGGCCAGAAGTGTCGGGCACGGGATCTTGCCATCGTTGAGTTGTAATGCCTCTGCGGATTGATCCCAAAAGGAGTTCAGGTCCTTCGACCACTCTTGGATTTCTGCCTTACCAGGCCAAATCGGATTTGAATCTGGCGGTTGGTGATCAGTGCCAGAACCAGAGGAGTTTTCAATCCTCGGAAATTTGAGAACAAGGCCTGAGTCCGACTTCAGAGCTTCGACAACGCGGTTTCGTGTCTAGAGAAGAGTCAACACGGGATATGGTGCGCGGATTCAAAACTTAGCACCTCCAAGTCCAAGGAGTCGACCCAGCTTCGAACACTTCCGCTTTTGGCTGTAGAACAGGAATTATCTATCAGCTGGCTGTGTTCATTTCCCATGATCAGGCAGCGTTTCTCAGGAGCAGGTAAAGAAGGGAGGGTGAACCATAATTTGACTGCAGCGGTCGCCGGGAATCCACAGCACTGACTTCATTCCCAAAACTCATATGTACGAGCACCAACTCCGTACGGAATGACAAAGGTGAAGCGCTTCAGAAGGATGCTCGCGCTAAAACATCTTGGACCACCGTTCGTCTCGGCCTCTCAGCGGCAGTGATTGTGATCAGGAGCTGGTTGATCATGGCCTTTGGTGCATAAAGTCGGGAATCTCCCAATCTGGTGGCCTTGCATTGCTCGTCTCGATCTGGTCGTTGCTCTACACCGCTCAATTGTCATGCCATGGCAGGAAAGAGAAAAGAATTCAACGTGCTTTTACTCGGTGACGTGGCAGTAGGAAAGACAGCACTCGTTCACCAGGTGAGTTGATCACCGACGTGGAAGAACATTCTTTTGACGTCGACTGCAGTTCATATGCGCGGAATACCTGGAACATTACACACATACCTTCTATGATGACTATCGGATTCCCGCTGTTGTGGGGTCGGAGGTGGTTGATGTGCACGTTTACGATACCGATGATCCCACCGCACTTCTACCAATTACCCATGCGGTCATTGGTGTGTTCAGCCTCACCTCAAAAGAGTCGTTCCAGCGTCTGAGGCTGTTCTCCAGTATCTTCTTGGATTTCCAGAAATGTGGAGGCTTGGTATGCTTAGTTGGAACTCATGCGGATGTCGACCCACCGCAAGTATCGCAAAAGGAAGCCTCCCAGATGGCTCATGATATGGAGACGAAACTGTTCTCTATTTGTGTCGGAATTTCCGTTCAAGCCAGGGAACCATGGGATTTCGTCTTGCACCAATACGTTCAGCCTGCAGCCGAACGAGTCACCCAAACAATCGAGCCACCAACACCACCGCTGCGACCAACAGAGACTATCATCACGTCCGTCTGGAATGCGTGGTCGCATGGGTCGGATTTATTTAGAAGATGCCTTGGCATGCGGAAAGGCAAGAGGGGGATCTAGTACAGTTAGATGCGAGAGTCCTGGAGTGTTGTTTGGCCATACATGGATCGTATTGTCGTTGTCAAAGTCCGCGGGAATTGTAACACTCCTTTTCCTCGCAATGGCCAGACCAAATCCTTCATGTCCCTACCATTCCTTGCTGTTCCTTGGCCCCCGTCTCCTCGATAAAGGTGAGGACATCCCAACCCCATACCCTCGCAATTTTCGACCACATCTCCTCCCTAAATCTATAGAGACAGGTGAGTCTTTCATTGAGTCACTTAATGATTAGAGGGCACTACGACCGGGCAAGTGCTTGCTGATGACTTCCCACTTCACGCCATTCTGACGCAGTTGGATGATCTTGGCGTCTTCCCCTGGAGACCACTTTGATTGCTTCTTCGCAGGCTCGGGTGGACCGCCTTGCTAGGGATCCAATGCCGACTTGGTGTCCATCTCTTGAGGATTGTCTCCGTAGAAATTGAGCAACAAAGAAGAGAGAACAAAAGGACACTGGGAGGCTTTATATCACCTGGCTCACCCTGCCGACTTTATCCCCCTTCTTCTCCATTGTTGAGGGCGCCCTCTGCGATGGACTCGCCACTCAAACCCAATAAACACCTCGCTCCAAAGGACACTCTCAGGAAAAGACCGAGCAGTGAAGCCATTGTGAAACCAGACTTGAAAAAAAGAATCCCTGGCGAAGCGAGGACTTCACATGCGGCGGCTTCATCTGTGCTTACCGACAGTCTAGTGCGAGAGCTACGCATCTCTCCGGACCCAGACGACCAGCCGGCGCTCCAACAAATCGAAGCCTTGAGCAAACGACCCAGAGTTCTGAGGAAACCCAATCTAGCAGGGGAACAGGAGCAGTCGACGTGGGCATGTTGCTGCCACTGCGAGACAAGCGGGAGGATTATGAGTTGGCCACAATGCAGACTCTGTCTCCACAATCGTTGCACCTTTTGTGAACATTCAGAGGAAAAAACCAAGGTTGACGCCGAAGCAGCCGAGGGCAGAGTAACGACTCAATTCAGCAGGCTGAGCGAGCTCTCCGGGAAGATAGGCCTGGCATTGGAATTGCTCGCTTTGACACCGCGGCAAAGTCAACGTCTCCCCAGACTCTGGGAGAGCTTAAAGCTCTTCAATCAAACCCTGTCAGAACTGGAGGATGCGGGAGCGGAAGAGCCCGAACCTGAAACTCCGGCTGAGTGATAGAGGATAAAAGTGGGTGACATCACTTCGCCCAGGGAGGACCCTGCGCAAGCGATGAGTTTCGTGACTTCGTGGAAGAAGTTGTAGGTGAAGCGGGGGGGAGAAGATTCGCTAGCTAGAAAGTCTGACGACTTGGTCCAGATAATGACATGACATCTTCTAGCGAGGGCGGCATCGTAATCAGCAAATGAAGGTAGAATATAATGGAGTCGAGTGCCAGGGGAAACCAATGTGCATTCTTACCCACCAAGATAACAAAGGCAAGCCCTGAAAGATCTGTCACTGTGCAGCATGCCCATTCTGTGAGTACTCTGTAGAGATGGGCACATCCGAAGTGTGAGAGAGTGAAAGAAATTTACCTTTTGGGACAGCCCACAATCCAACGCACTTGAAAAGGCCACTTCTACGCCGCATTCAAGTATTCGCCGCAACCAACGAAGTTTCGCAATTTCATCGCGTTCCAGAACCTCTACAAATGCAGCTTGGCCATTTTGTCACGCTCAGCGGATTGTTATGTTGCTGAAAGGAGGCCATCACCTCTCCGCCTCTCCAGCATTCGAAGGATCTAACATTAGTACTCCTGATTCCGCCCCATACTGCACCTTCCGGATCAGAAAGTCTGAGCACCCTAATCGTACTCGATGGAGCAATCGTGGCGATGATCACCAAAAACTTCTCACACCTGATCAGAAAGTCCGATGGCGACAAGATATCTGGAGGCCGGTTCGAAGGCAAACCCTGGTCGATACTGAGGGCGTTGAGGATTGTGGAAATGGAGAGTGTTGATAACGAGGAAATATGCGTTGTGGCAAAAGAATCGGAATGGATCGCCGCCGTCATCGCATCGTCATCCAGAACCGCGCATGGTTCTGCCTACGACAGTGGCCGTGGGTGCCACGACCATCGTTTGTGTCCTGTCGAAAGGACATCGAGCTAGGACGAATAGCTCTAATGCCGGGGAAGAAATTCTGGGTGCCTCTCATTAGCGGACAATATACTGGCACAGGACCGTCGGAACTCGCGCTCCTCCGGACATTCCTTCTGTCACCCCAAAGGCCACATGTAGTGTTTCTCGAATTTGAGGTCATGTCAAAGAGAGCCGAGCAGAGCCAGCTCGGTGGCCAGGCTCCTAAGGTGATAGTTGAGCTTTGTGATAAACGGTTATCACTTGAGCGCAATATCGAGGCCAGAGGGATTTTCATTAACGAAGATGGTGACTAGGGGGGGCTAGGAGAACCCTAGCGGGTGGAGGTCCTTGTTGGCAATTAGAGTCCAGCGGTTCGAAGGTCTTGGTCGGTAGGACAGATTTTGCTGAAGCAGTTTGTTCTCTGCATCGCATCAGGTAAGTCATTGTTTGAGTGTGGATTTGTTGAGCAGTCAAGCGGAAGCTACGAAAGCTGCGAGAGCTTAAGAGAGGGAGGGTGACAGCGTCAGGGACTGCGAGGAGGATCGCAGCTTGCGAAAGCAGCGAGGGAGGTTTCCCCTCCAATGTCTGCGCTGAGCCCGTACCGTACCAAAGATCTCCACAATGTCCATGCAAGAGACGAGCGAGGCCAGCCTCGAAGCGTAGACTGAGTGATGCCGCTTTTCGAATCACGCACCGATTTCATTGGACCATCTCAGCGTCTGAAGGCTGCCATGGCGGAGGGCCGTAAAAACCAATCACAGGCGCTGCCGCCAGTCTCTGTGACATAAGTATTACTATGGCTCAAATGACTCTAGAATTGAGTCATTTGAGGTACCTTTTTACCATCTGTAATGTCTGACCCCATAGTGTCATTCAGTCACATCTCCACACGATTAATGTCACCACTATTCGCGCCGAGGCGCTAGACTTCTGGCCCCCACGACTGGGGAGACACGGGTGATCGCTCACCCGCCGGTGAATCTGCTCACAGCTCACTTAGGGATCTTCCCGGCCATGCCGCTTTTAAAGCCGTCACCTCACCACTCACCCCCTTCTCGTCCTCTTTTCACCCTTAACTTACCCTCCACGTCGCCCTCATCTGCGATGGTCCCAATTCGTCCTGCCTGCCATGTCTGCGCGCCGGGCAGTGGTAGTTTTTTTTTTTCCAAAACCCCCCCTAGGACCAGGTTCTGCCCTTCTTTCCATGCCGCTAAATGCCCCCTCCCTTCCCACTAAAATGCCTGTCCAAGTTCATTGTCAGAGGCAACTGGGTGGTGACAGTTTAATGGCAGGAATGATGCTCCTAGGCACCCTTGCAACCTAGGTCGACGCGTCTTGGGCATCCTCCTGTCCCAGGACAGTATGCCCAGGACCAAACTGGAGCCTAGAACAATGTGCCCAGCTGCGTTCCCGAACCCAGAACCTCTCCAATCCTAGGAAAGAGTCCCTAAGATCCTATGTATTACAACCCACTTATGCACGTTACCAGGGGCGCCATCTGTTGGAGAACGGACTTCCGGACCGCGCGTAAGTCCTGGAAAAGCGCTCGTCAAAGTGTGCCACGTGGCCTAGACACCTTTTGTGCTGTCAAAACTTCCCAGCAGCGACATACCTTCCCACCCCATGAGCATTCTACCAACTTCACATTCTTGCCTGAGTTGGTATCTAGCCGCGACAATGCGTCTGGCTTCTATTCTCCGTTTGAGATCCTCAGTCCGCAGCCCTATTCAGCCCATAATATGACCTGGCTCAACTTCGATTACTCAAACTGCGCCATTGGCCTGCATCTGTTTGAGAGCTCCTTGGAAGCGCGTTGGCCGCCCTATCTCCTCCATGTCGCCAGGTATTGACGATCGAAGGCAGTCTTCATCGTGCTCGTTTCGCCAGTCGACTGAATTTTCATCCCTTTCATGCGGATCCTACATGCTGCGTAGTCTAAAGCCTGTCACACTATCCTGAAACGGGAGTAGTTTCGCATCGTTAGGCGGCAAGGCTCAAGACTCAAATCCAAGGCAGACTCGCGATGCAGAGCTCGACATAAATATTCTTCGTACGGCTGCTAGCTGCTAGCTCCCCATATCAAAACAGCTACACGACCAAGACAAGCTACATAGGTCAGAGACAGTGCATGAGATCTCAGCTCCGGTCGCTCATCAAGGCTGGGTCATCCTTCTAGCATATTATAATAGCGGTCTTGACGAAGTTTAATAGAATGCGCAGGCAACCGCTGACATCGCGAGCTTTCATGAGTTCTCAGTTACCACAGGAGCCAGAAGCTATAGATCATACCCCAGCAGATAATGCCAACTCCGGTGAACAACCGACGACATCCAACGAATTAGATGGCACGAATCTCGCTTTCGACTATCCGCGTATACACAGACCGGTGAAGAGAAGTTTGAAAAGGCCATTTGGCAGTTCAACATTCGAGGAAGCGAACAAGACAAAACGCAAGCCGCAAATGCCACATGCCGAGCTTTGTGAAAAGTGTGCTCAAATTGATTTCTCGGCAATAGTGGAACTTGACGCTACCTCTCTCCAGGATGACTTGAGACGAGGAGTTTATGTTGCAAATCTCGGCACAATTGGTGATATGGCTAAGAACAGATGTCCTCTATGCCAGCTATTCGCTGAGGTCAGAATAACAGGTCAAGGCTTGGAAGATGACGCCGAATACCACTTGCGTGCTTATTCAGTGTTCAATCGTTTCAATGACATGATCCTTTCACTGGCTCCGGAAAGGATTACAATCAAAGACCTGCCGTGCCTTGCGGTCGTCTCGACAGCATCAACAAGCGCGGCCATTCCAGACTCTCATGTCAAATTACTGTACTGCCACCCTGTCCATGATGAGGATGTGAAAATAATTACCCCCAGCCTGTTGAGGTCAGAAGTGGATTTTGACAAGTTGAGAGGGCTGCTGAGATACTGCAAAACGAAACACAATCATCTCTGCAGTGGTCCCCAGCCCATGGGCTCCCCACTAAAGCTGATAGATTGCTACAAGAATGCCACCAAGGTCTCAGAATTAAGGGTGACTCCGGTTTTCTCAGACTGCCCCCCCTACTTGGCACTCAGCTATGTCTGGGGCGATGCTAAACGCAACTGCAACGGTTCGAAAGCTGATGAAAATGTTCTGATGCCAATAACTATCTCCGATGCAATGCATGCAGTGAAAATGTTGGGCTATCGGTATTTATGGGTTGATAAATTCTGCATTGATCAGCATAATGAAACGGAGAGCGAATATGAAATCAACCGCATGGACACAATATACCAGAAGGCCGATGCGACCTTGATGATGGCGGCCGGGCAAGATTCAGACGCAGGTCTCCCTGGTGTCGCGAAGACATCACGAATTCCTCAGCAACATCTGTTAGTGGGGGACGTCCAACTGACCTCAAGCATGCATGTGCCCCGGGCAACTATTGAGTCATCTACTTTGAATACCAGGGCATGGACACTTCAGGAAGCTATTTTATCACGGAGGAGGCTTGTATTTACGCCATACGAGGTTTATTTCGAGTGTATGTCAATGCAATGGCGCGAGAGCTGGGAGGCAGATCTAGACGGCCTGCACTCACATGGCCGCATGCGAAAATTCTTTCGGCCTGGAATCTTCGCAGGAAGGCCGGCGGACAGCCCCGGAGTGGTCGCAAGATCATCGTTCGAGAATCTCAGAAGATTCCTCCATCTCATCAGCCAATACTCAACCAGGCGATTCTCTGGTGACTTTGGACAGAAAGACTCTCTTAAAGCTTTTCAGGGAATTATCAACCACTTCGCATCCGCGAAGGTTCCAATATATGAAGTCTGGGGAGTACCATTTATACTCTCTTTGGACGATCAAAACTTGGCTTTTCAGACCTTTGTGGCCAACATAATCTGGGAGCACACAACGACTGCACTTTCCGGTCAGACAGTACCCACACGTCGACCAGCGATTCCCTCTTGGTCTTGGGCTGGATGGGAGGGTAGTGTGAGGTTCCCCATTCGTTCAGCAGCTACAAACCCATGCTCTCTCGAAGTGATGATCTCGAATTTATCTCTCCAGACTGGTTCAGACGACGAGGAAATTGTCGAATTCCTATCTCAGGAACAAGTCTGCAGGCTTAAGCAGGCGGGCATAAGAGGTTTCGGAATTCTCACCTTTTCTGCTCATAGAATTGCTCGGAGAAATCTTAGCTTCTTTGTAAAGTCAACCAAAAATCGCTGGAATCCACCACACGTCACATTGGGCGAGAGTCAGTTCAAAGCTGCTATTCACCTATCTAGCGAGAGTCTAAACCGTCGAAACTTCAGATTCATATTTTACTCGGGCAACTATGAATTTTTGCTGTTTACGACGGAAATTAATGACCAGCGGCGGCGACATTCTTATTTGCGATTTTTGATTGTCGAGAAGGTTTCCGAGTCCAGTCTCCAGTGTGACGCGGATGCCATGGAAAGCAGAGGACTTGTTCAGCGAGTCGGCACCATGCTCGTGAGAACTGATTTGGAGAGTTTCAGGCGGAAATTCACGTTAGAGGAGTGCCAAATTCGTCTCCGTTAGAATTCTTCCAGTTTTCAATCGCAAAGCATCTTAGATGTCCTGCCCAACAGCATCAAGATTTTTCACAATAAGCACCAAATCGTTTGCCCCGCCATACAGAACCATTTGCGGGATATCGTGCTTTACCATAGGAGCACGCTCTGACGAGAATGAATCGGGGGAGGAAGTATATCTACATGATGTCAGCGCAAGGCCAGAACGTCCCAGCCGTCGAATGCTCTTGCATGTGATAGGGGAAATTCGTTGCTATACCATAGAGTGGGACTCTAATTTTGACAAGAATATAAATCCACTTCAAAGTACAACTGGTCGTACTTTGGTAACTTTCCGCCTTTCTCTCATAAGGAGCCGCTCTTTAGTCGATCCACAGATTAATGGCGTCTTTTCAGGCTGTCCAAGGTTTGCTGTAGACGCCGCCGAGTAGGGTCGCAACTTTTCATCTCTTCTTTGGCTTCTTGAAGATTGCCTGCTCCGGTAATTGGGTAAATGGAGTTTACGGTGTCGGCTGAAGGGATCCATGAGACTTAGCTCGTCCCGTCCGGCTCCTGATTCCGAGAGATACTGACTTTCCAGATTTTGCGAGAGCTCCGCTATTGGTTGATCGCCAGGTCTTTCGCTCTGCTCGCACCAACATGTGTAGTCTCAACTGTCGTAGCGTTCCACGTGTAGTCCTATCGAGCGGTGGCCTGAGTCGCCTCCGAGCTGAACAGAATCGTGACAATGAATCCTCTGCCTGAGAGCCCTGTTCCCCGATGCAACTTGGAAGCAGGCAGATTCCCACGCGGAGAGTGTCACCACTTCAGTTGTACAGAAAGCAGCGGTGCCCTGTTCGGAGAACGAAGCGGAAGGCCAAAGACGGGTGGGGAGGTGGTTGCGAGTCTGTTCGAGCGTTCAAGGAGACTAGCATTCAGAAAGTGAGATATCGGTAGAATTCGGTAATAGTGGTCGCTCGATGAGAAGGACTCGTAGAAAGGAGGGGAGTCATTAGCTTCAAGCGGTCACGCAGTTAAGCGGTCCAGTGAGACCCAAGAGGGAGTGGGGTGTTAGAGCCGAGATGTCTTAAAAAGATAGCGAAAGTAGCGAGAGAGAAGTCGGTTCGACAAGGACTTGTAGACGATGGAGGTAGGAGGGACATGGAAGGTCTTTCTAGTCGAGATACTGGCCTCAAGGCGTGGAATCAGCAACGCCGCTTTGGAGCACGCCCTTTCGTTTGGTTGATCCAGGCCGTAGGCACAGTGGACTCTACGACTGTGCATACGAGGCGCCAGCCGTAGCAGCCCCCACAGTAGGGTCAGGCACAGCACCCAGGCTCAGGCTGACTCGCACTCGACCAGGGTGAGCACAGGGCGGCGTTACCCCGGACCTGATTGAGGGTGAGCTGCGAGCAGTTTTTACTTCCCTTGGCCGAGGGACTTATACAGCATCAAAAGCGCAGCTGAGCACAGTGCTTGCACGTGATTAAAGCGGTCAACGGTTGTGACTGGCAGGGATGCCAAGGACATGTAATGACCGTCACGCTAGTCCGAAGGCCTTCGACTAGCGCCGGTAGGGCCCTGTAATTTACTCGAAGGTATATAGTCAGACGGTCCCCAGGACCTAGCAGAATTCACCATGTTCCTCCATTGAGTCACACGGTCTTCCCCTGCCTATTTTTGCCCTGGATCTCTCGTGACTTGATATCGTACAAGACTACTTAGTTCCCGCGAAATCGCAACACTTGAGGCATCCGCACCATCGTCTTCTTTGGCCTAAGAGTCTCGATCTGAACGAAGGTACAGTGATTGGCAGAGGCAATGATGGATTATGGCCGCCTCATTTGACAACGATGCTTGTCAAGGCGCAGGCTTCATTCCAGACGAAGAACGCAGCCACATCAGATGGGAGCCTGCCACGTCAACTGGCAGGGCTACAAGCTCCAAGATGCACGGGCAGTTCAAAGCACCAATTACATGATCCCCCGTCGCAGGCGAATGACTTCCAAAGCGCCTATCAAAACCAAGTCGGAGAAAGCAGATGCTGGAGGGCTGTGTTCAATGAAATAGGCACACGAGAGGTGACAGCATCCACTTGCCCTACAGATACGCGCGCCACGTTTCAATGTGTGCTCCAACTGGCTCTATCCAGTCGTCACTTGAGAGAACACTTCTCATATTGTCATATTCTACTTACTGACTTCCCACCCAGAACCCCGGTAACTCGCGATCAACTCCAGTTTGCCCTCCATCGAACAGGCTGCATGTCCATTGCTGTACGAAATGCTAATCGTCATGCTGAATGACCACTAAACGACACGTACATCCCAGCGACACTGCCTGCATAACCCCGACGATATAGAGGAGGTCTCACACTTTGCACCGCGACAGCACCTCAACCGCTCCCATATCTTCTGAGAACGCTGTGCAAACCGGAGCTATTGGTACTCTGTACTCTCAATATGGGCCAGAACTCCAGTCTGCCAGAGCCGCCAAACCAGTCCCGGCGAGTGGAAGAAACCATGATCAGCACTCTGGACGCAGTCAGTAAATCCCTCAACGAGATCCCAGGGCTGGTCAACAAGGCCGAAAAGATAGCAAACGCCGTGCAAAAGGCCATGCCGGCGGTGAAAATCCTGGCATCCCATGCGAAATACCTAGCCGGGTTTCAAGGATTTTTCATCGCCGCGGGCGCGCCCGCCCAGATCATCCAAGTCTTTCAGGGACAGCAGATCATCGCCGAGCTCCGGGGGATACGACGAGAGCTCGAGGCGCAGACGCGGCTGGACGCTCCCGAAAAGTTCGCGGTTCACGTCTACGGGTACATCGACATGATGACCAAGAGCACGGCCAAATCCGGCAAAAAGCACCTCTACTTCGTCTACCACCCGGACACGGACTGGCACCCCTATTTCTGCCGGCTGGTGGAGAAGAAGCCGACGGCCAACAACTTCTTCGGCATGGCCGAGAATCTCGACACGCTGTGCATCTGGATGCGATATCTGCGGGCTCTCTTCGCCCGATCGGGGGAATGGGGCAAGGACCCGGTCTTCCATCTCCTGATGCCCACGTATCGCCAACTACACATCGAGGAACCCCTAGCCTTCGCCGACGCTCTCCAGCCACTCTGTCTCCACGGCTTCGTCCACAACAGCAAGTGCTCCGTGCAACTGAACCTGCACAACGCCGACCCGGACATGCTGGACGGGGTCGGCATCTGGAAACGCCCCGCGGGCTTGCTGGGCCTGTTCCAGGCAAAAGAGACCCCTCGGGTTCTGGGCAACGTTCCCATATCTGCCGACGACACCCTCTCCCTCGAGACGGGCGTTCGCAGAGTGCGCAAGCGGAGGCGGAGGGCGGTGCTCAGAACCCGAGGGAGCTTCCACGGACACGGACACGGACAGATTAAACATGAACCATGCGAAAATTCCCAGCAGTTGGTTGAGCAGAAGGGCTAGATGGAAAGATTGGGGGGGGGGGGGGGGGAGGAGTTTTCCGCTTTTCCTTGCGACTTATCAACCTAGTCTCATTCCCCGGTTTGCATTTGGAGAGGGAGTCGTGCACACGATCTGTTCTTCACTATTCGATCATGAATCTTCCACCATCGCTATCGCCATCCCCATCGCCATTGTCGATAATGTATTGCCACACCCCAAAGCCAGTTTATTCCTTTCTCACAGCCACCACTCCAGCACTCCCCTCCCATCCCCTCCACTTCTCAATTTCCCCGAGAGTCCCCTTCCCTCTCATCGCCGGAACTGTCGTCATTTTCATTCTTGCAAACCCATCGCCCGCCAAAATCGGCGTACACCGGCTTCGGCGTCGGTGGTCTGTGCACAAAGCTGGGATGGAAGCCCCTCTGGATAACATCCGGCACGTCCTCCCCGCGCTGTGGCTTGATGGCGGCGGCGGCCTCCTCCCCCTCAATTTCATCGTCCTTTTCATCCTTCTCCTGCCCTGCCCCACGCTTCACGGATGGGATGTACATTGACATGGTTGTGGAGGGTTGTGGACAGCCCCGAAACGGCAGGATCGCTGTCCATGGGTATTCGGTCGCCGCTAAAGGGCGGGGAGGAACGGGGATCGGTTGCACGTACGGTGGCGGAGGCGGAGTGGATGAATCTGGCTGGCTCGGGTGGTCGGAGTCCGTGGGACTGGAAAGTTCTCTCGGTATCTCATCTGGGGTGTTCTTCTCCATGGCTATGCTGTTTCTCGCTTGAGAATGTTCTGAATATGCGGAGTCGTATGGACAGGATAGGCGCGGGAGCTTGCGAGAGTTTGATGCAGGGAACAAAGATATCAGGTCTGCGAGAGCAAGCGCGCACTCTAGTAGTCCATCTACGTATTTATACGGCTCGTCATTAAACAAAGTCGACAAACCGCGCATTTGCATGAAAACACTTCGAACGACGCTGTTGATCATTTGCAAAGTAGACGCCATAACAATCCAAGGACGAAACAAACACAACCGTTCTATCCACTGTACATGTCAAACACCCTGCAATGTTGACCCGCTTTGCAAAGGGTATCAATGCCTTCATATCGTAAAATCATAAGGAATCCTCCTTGTCCGCCTGGTGGTCGGCGACTTCATCTCCCTTTTTCGCAGCCTTGTCATCCGATGGCTTCATCTTCGAGATCACGTGAGCAACTTTGGCCAGCCCGGCCTCCAATGCATGACCAGCTTTTGTGTCTTGTCTGCTTCCACCCTCTGGGTCTGATGAGCCGTCGTATGAAAGGGCTTCGCCTTGTGGACCAGATTGCTTCACACCTTGTTCTTCTGAATCCTCGACTCGTTGCGCAGCGGTGCCCATGTCTGAAGTTGTGCATCCGCCCTTGACACTTGACGCACGACTTACGTCCGCACTATCGGCACGGGACTTTCGGAGGCCGAGTTCTTTGCCCAAGGTACTCGCTCCTTGACTGACCATAGCGCTCATGGTTAGGGGAGCGCCTCCCTTTCGGCCGCTATCGACGCCATCGGCTGGTTGCACCTCTTCGTCGCTTTCACCCTGCCAATTTGCTGGTTGGCTTTCAGGAACTGGTTCGCCTTTCTGAGGTTCTGTAATAACTCGCTCGACAGGAGCACCATCTCCTTCTTGCTTAGCGTACTGCCAAACGACTGTCAATTTGTCGAGGGCTCTGGTACCCTTTCTGGAACTCCCTTTGATACCGTCCATCGCCTCCCAGTCAATCTCAAAGACACCTGAATTGAGCCCTTCGTGGCCTCCTTCAAAGTATGCGTTGAACCAAACATGTGCAATGGCCGTAACCATGGTAAGTCCCGTGTACCCAGCTTTGTTTCGTCGTTCAAAGTCGACATTGATGTCGCTGGTAGGTAGAATCACTGGCGAAGATGGTTTCAGGATGACGTTTTGAGTTGAACCCGAAGAGTTTTTGCTTAGGCTCAACGAAGATGATTGTGGAGACGCGTTCTGCGGTGTGCTAAGGATTTCGCTGTCTTTTTTCCCCTCCGAAACAGGTTTCGACTGTTTGGCGTTGGTCTCCTCCACCACAGTCTTCTCTTGCCGACTGAAGGTATGAAACGTTCGAATGCGACGGCCATCATCCACGTAGCCCTCTATTGAAGCTTTGACTCCGTCTCTAAGGCCCTCGATATGGATCTCGACAACCTCTACAGGTCTTTCGACGTATCGTTTGCCGAGACTGTTTGCCCACCGATCCACGTAACCAACCCAACGCAACTGACTCGGGATGCTGACGCCAACGCCAAACCCAGGCCGCATACGTCTGATGGTGAATCGTTGGAGCGCTTCCTCTTTCTTCCACCCTTCCTCGCTGATCAGATATGAGCACGCGACCGTCCCACTTCTGCCTTTGCCCGCTTTGCAGTGTATCACAGCAACTCTCTTCTTGTCTTTATCCTTGTTTGTGTCCGCATCTTCGTCTACTCGCTGAATCCAATTGCGCATTGCAGCCATGACGTTCGGAATGATGGCGAAGGGAGGAGGGTGGTGGTCTGGGAACGGGAAGTGGTGGATTCGGTTGTAGACCTCGGAATCAGGATATCCTGTGCCTTCGGCTCGAAACTCGAAAATAGCCCAATCCTCGCCATGTTTCCGGTCGAGGAAGGCGACCAGCTGGTCTAGGGGGTTTCGGTAGGCTTTTCTAGGCCATACAGAGCTGGGTCCTGAAGTGACGACAACTGATGGGCATCAGCAAAAAATCCCCTCTTCTACAAGTCCAGTTTGCAACGTACTGTAGTCGGTCACGTAACACAGGTCGAGGCCTGCTTCTGGATGTCTAGCACGGGGGCCTGCAACTATCTGGCGGAGAAGTGAAGCCTGGCTTTGTTAGCAGTGTCTCCCTCGAGATCCGGGAACATCACACACCATCTCCCTGACAAACACTTTTTGTTATCTGCACATCATGAGAGGTATTCTTCTGCAAATGCTGTAAGAAGCCAAGGGGCACTCCAAGCAAAGGATAATGTTGGTAAGAATTCAGCTCGTCAGCCTCCTTTGTAGGATTTCAGAAGTCACGACGCGTGCAATGAATGTGTGACGTCATTGTGCTTCTGCGAGGCTGAAGTGGTCAGTTCTCATTTGACCACAAACTGTTTGAACTTCGTTTCGCTTCAATTCCATGCTATGCCCCATTGATAAAGAGTCGTATCATTTCCCCGAGTAGGCAGTTCAAGAGTTAATAGCGACCAGTGGAGAGCACCCTCTCCCCGGATGTTGCAGAAGAATCGCGTGCCACTCAGAGAGAAAAACAGCATGCAGCCATTCGGAGGTCGCAGTCATACGTTAGCTGGCCTTGGTGGCTGTATTGGCTCAGACTCAACAAGACAGCAGCACTCTGCTTTATCCTCTTCCCTGCCTTCTTGAGGCCTCGAATCCCGGTGGAAGCATTCCGGCATGGACAGCACCACATCAAACTGACTGCTCTGATGACAGTTTTTCGGCTGGTACTGAGAACTCGAGTCATTTTGTATGTTCGGCATTGCCAACTATTGGCCAACATGAGAACGTGCACTGGAGCAGATGAACATCAGCTGTCCCAAGTCAAAATCCGAATTATGGTCAGAATTGCAGATAATGCCCTGCCTTTCGAGATGGATGTTCCTCCTATGCGCCCTTCAGCTACCCACAAGGCCGTGACGGAAGGCCGTGATGACCGTCCTATACGGCCGTAGTCGTACTGGATGTGGATCAAGACATTATTGATAGCCAAAGAAAGAAAAATTTACACAAGCAGGCTAAATCTGGAACACTATCACCAGCATGAATGGACATCAAAGTAGGTGGCTCAGTCACTGTGCGTCGTATCGGTACGCATCCCAGATATCAACGTCAGTTAGCGCCCAAAATTTACGAAGGGGGACCAAAAGGGTTGCAGGAACCATCAAGAGGCGGAGGAGTTTGATCCAATAAGACTAGAATGTGTCAAAGGTTGGACAGGAGCAATCACTGGACAGGTGAACAAAATACTCTAGGTATGTAGGATTCCCACTGTCCTAGTGCATATGCTTCGGAGCCTCTCAAGGACAGAAACTCTGCTAGATATAACGAGGTTGTTACAGGGTCATGTTGAGAGTCTCAAATCCCCAATGAATTGAGCAGACAGGCGCAAACTTGTATCTGAACAATAGAAAGGGGTCGTTGTCACCAAGATTGCGGAACATGACCGTTCGCTGAATAATCCCATTCCTGTCCAGGCCCCCAGATACCGGAGGCTCGTGACGCCCCGAACCTCCGCAAGATGCAAGGATATTTCCTTATCGAGACTCCAGTTCCACTCGGATGCAATTGATAGTATCTCCATGCGAGGCTGGTGTGTGAGATCCTCGCTCCACAATCTCGTTGCTGGGCCGCCTTGCCAATGGAACCGAAGGGTCTGACAGAGGTTCTGGGCTGAATGCTGGAGCAAGAAACCTCCATCACTTGGTCTGACCTATCTTCTGCCTGGATGCATGCCCGGAGGCATCTCCACAGTTCTCAGAGGTAAAACTATTTGTACAGGCCGAGTTCTCAGACCCTGAATCGAGAGCACGATCATTATCCCCGACAGAGGATACGATGCGCCGCCATGATGTCTCGGAAATGAGCCCCACGGCTATCTCATCCTCACATATAAATGACGAATCTGCTGTGCAGAATCATGAAACATTTGGAGGACGACCAGTACCTTTTCTTGTTCGGAGCTTGCATGTACTGGGAGGATGACTGCCGAAGTTTCGCAATATACCCTCCAGCGTTCGTCGCTTGATCTGGAAGCACGAGATGCAGAGACTTTACAGGACCCTCTTGGAAAAGAGATCACTATCGGTGACGGTATATCACGCCAAAGCAGCAGACACATTGCGGAGTCGCTTTCTCTACCGCGTGAGATTCTCTTCGTGGGCATCATATGTACAGCACAGATCACCACGCAAGCCGGCCTCGGCCAAGCACTCATTATCATCCGAGATATAGCACGAAGTTTCAATCTCACCGACCCCAGCGAATTGGCATGGCTGATTGCTGGATACAGCTTGACCGTTGGGACATTCATCCTCGTTAGCGGCAGATTGGGAGATATGTTTGGTTACAAACGAATGCTGATCATCGGGTATGCCTGGTTCTCGGTCTGGTCAATGATCGCAGGGGTAGCTATCTACTCAAATCATGTATTGTTCATTTTCGCTCGGGTATTCCAGGGGATTGGACCTGCTATCCTCCTACCGAATGCGGTGGCTCTACTTGGTGCAAGTTATGCGCCTGGTAGTCCTCGGAAAGACATGGTCTTTGCACTGTTTGGTGCCTGTGCCCCCGGTTAGTTAGCACCTTTCGATCGATCGACTTTGTTCGTGGTACTAACTCACCATGCTTAGGTGGCTCGCTCATCGGCTGTGCTTTCGCAGGAGTTTTCGCTTTGACATGGTGGCCCTGGGCATTCTTCTCTTTCGCCATTGCTCTCGCTATGCTTGCAGTGGTGTCTTACTTTGTCGTCCCCGATGCGCAGCCAAGGAACCAATTTGCCGGGTTTTCTCTCTGGTATAAAATCAAGCTCCTTGATCTGCCTGGCGCCGTGGTGGGCATCACGGCTCTAGTGCTGTTCAATTTCGCATGGAACCAAGCACCGATTGTGGGTTGGCAGAAGGCATACGTCTACGTGACAATGCTCATCGGAATCCTGCTGGTGCCCTTGTTTTTCTATATTGAGCTTCGAGTCTCGAAAACGCCGCTTGTGCCTTTTGACGCACTTACGGCAGATGTTGGATTTGTGCTTTCTTGTATCGTCTGTGGCTGGGCATCATTTGGTACGGACTAGTCCCCAGAGCATGCATCTCTACATACTGACAAGTGGGAATCTAGGAATCTGGTTTTTCTATCTGGTCAATTTTCTGGAAATCTTACGAGGCGCATCACCGCTGCTGGCGGTGGCGTATATGAGTCCCGTTGCCGTCTCTGGTGCCATTGCTTCTGTCGTTACCGGGTTCCTCTTGTCTAAACTTCGGCCAGCAATGGTCATGACGATTGCGCTCACATGGTTTACAGTTGGGCACATCCTGGTTGCCACCACCCCTGTTCACCAAACATACTGGGCGCAGACTTTTGTCGGACTGGTGGTCATTCCCTGGGGCATGGACATGTCTTTTCCTGCGGCGACAATCATTCTCTCCAACGCAGTGCGTAAAGAACACCAAGGCATTGCGGCCAGTCTCGTCACAACAATCGTCAACTACAGCATCTCGCTGGGACTGGGCTTCGCGGGGACCGTGGAAGTGCATGTCAATCACGGTGGACGTACGCCACATGACCTTCTACTCGGGTACCGTGGCGCATGGTATCTTGGAATCGGGTGTGCTGGGCTTGGACTGTGCGTCAGCATTGTGTTTTTGTTGAGAGACTACTATAAAGTCAACGGGAAGACGAAAGGTAGTACCTCGGAGTGATGTTGTGCAGCCTTCGTGCAGCCTCGCTTTATGTATCTGTTACTATTTTTGCGTCCACATAGATAGACACCTTCTAGACTCTCAATTCCTCATTCCTCGTTGACGCTGGAATGTGCAGAAGGCAGTTGAGGATATCAGTAATTCGAATTAGATAGAAATAAAGGCAAACAAGGCGATACTGGGTATCCAGGCACAAGAGTCCCACCTTACTCGCAGTGACAAGCACCTACGCAGACGTCATATCATCAACAACAGAAAGTAGCTCCTACATGCCTGTGTAGATAGCTCGGTCTCTCTATAGATTCGGGCCTGTGATCTGTGATGTACACGATGTCCCTGTGGTCAACCGTAAGTTACATGCGGCGAATCACATCTCGCGAGGCGCAATCAGATATTCTCCGCACCACCGCTCCGCACATGCGCTTGACCTCACCTTTGAAGAAAAGCAGCTCTCACAAAAAGATGGTTTACATACATTGCCCATCCTACGCCAACAGCAACGGCAACGGCGCGCACGATGGTCCAAGTCCACGACCAAGGCTGGGGATATAGCAGAGATCCCGTTCCGCAGTGATGGATACCTAAGTCATATCACCCTTCCTCTCCTCTTCTTGATCACCATCACGATCACCATCTCCTGCACCCTCACTTGCACGAAGCGTAGCCCCGCCCACCATGTCCTTGACCTTCACCCAGGGCTTCCTCCTGGGCCAGCTCTCCGTGGTGCTGTTTATCGGGTGTTTTATAAAATTCTTCATCTTTGGCGAAGCGCCCTCTCCGCCGCCTCACTCGTCCTCCTCTTCTTCATCATCCTCGCGGACCTCTCGTCGAACACAACAACAACCAACCTCCCCGAAACACGTGCGGACCACGTCCCTCCACGGCCTCGCGTCGTCCAAATCCCCCGCGCCCCAGTCCCTGCGGACAAAGGCCAGCGCGACCAACATCCTGCGCCCCGTGCCGACAAACGCCTCGGACATCGCGTCGATCCTGAGGAAGACGTACTACCAGATGCCCAGTCGGGGTCCGGCGTCCGGGCACGCGGGGCACGGCAAGCACCAACAACACCATAATCATCATCACTCGACGCACCAGCCCGAGAGCCTGGACTGGTTCAACGTGCTGCTGGCGCAGACGATCGCGCAGTATCGCCAGACGGTGTACAATCTACGGGATGGGTCGGGCAGCTCTTCGGCCATTCTGACAAGCTTAGAGGCGGCCATTAACGATCCGGAAAAGAGACCGTCCTACATAGACAACATCAAGATTACCGAGATCTCCATGGGCGAGGAATTTCCCATTTTCAGCAATGTCCGTGTCATCGCCGTCGACGACGATCTGTCAAGCGCCACTGGTGGCAGGCTGCAAGCTCTGATGGATGTCGACCTGTCCGATGACAATCTCACTCTGGCTATCGAAACAGCTCTCATTCTCAACTACCCGAAGCCCCTGTCTGCGGTTCTGCCAGTTGCCCTCTCTGTCTCGGTTGTGAGATTTTCCGGCACTCTCTCCATAAGTTTTGTCCCTGCTACAGAGGACGACCCTCCCGGAGGGAACAAACACGCTTCCTCGGGCAAGCCCAAAACCAATCTCGCCTTTTCATTCCTTCCCGACTATCGGCTCGATATCTCCGTTCGAAGCCTGATTGGATCCCGCACTCGCTTGCAGGATATACCCAAGATTGCTCAGCTGGTGGAGGCCAGAGCACAAGCCTGGTTTGAGGAGAGGGTCGTGGAGCCAAGAGTGCAGGTGGTTCCTTTACCCGGCTTGTGGCCACGGTTGGGCAAGACCAGGGTGAGGGAAGGCCAAGATGACGAACGACCCCCTACCCAGGACGACCGTCGATCCTTTTCATTCGTTGACCCTCGCAAAGAAGCGAAGCCGGATGACCACTTTCCCTCTCAAGAAGAGACGGAGAGAATCTTCGAGGGCCTTAGATGGCGTACTGGTCATAATCGTGCCGACAGTCAAGTCATCGAACAGGAAGATGATACTCGAACTCCTCAGCCTCTTCGCGTCATGCCTGGGGCTCTTCCGGCTTCGTGAGAAAGAGTCGGGCAGCGCCGTTCTTGGGCACCGTCGGGTTCGTGCCTTGTCACGGTCAAGAAGTCAACCCGATTGTTCTTCGCTTGAGAACTTGACGCGACGCGGCGCAAGTCCCAATCATGGCAGGTAATCACTTCAGCATGTAATCCCCTCAAGTAGCTTCTATTGAGCTCGGCGGGAACATTTCATCCCAGAGCCATTGGAGTGGCTCACTGCAAATCGGCTTCCACCACAAGAATCTGGAGCATATCACTTCCAGAATAGACGAGTCTTGGATCTGTAAGAGTAGAATCTGCTGCAACAGCTGCTCGATATACCAGGGTCGATGGGGCGTGAAATTTGATGCGATTGCTCCCAGCGTGAGACACCACAGCAAGACCTGGCCGTGCAGGTCCCAACAGCCAAGAATGTCACAGGCATCGAGAGTTTGTTGCAGCATAAGAGCAAGCCTGGGTTTCACTTTTTGCGGAGGAGGTAGGGGAAAGATGACCATTTCGCTGAAGACCAATACCCCTAGTCGCACGGCATGATGAACACACAGTTCGGGGTTCGAAAAATCCAACGAACACGGCATCTGAGATAGTAGTCGATGCTGCGCCCAGTTGCGAACTTCTGTGAGCTCCGCGAGTTCCGGGGCAGTGGAACCGCCGCGTACATGGTGGTCTAGGGCCACGGTAACCTCAGAGTACGTGTCCAATATGTCGAGCAGTTGTCGGCCGGCCGGACTTTGACGTAGATACCGGAAACCTGCGCCGAGTTTGGAATCCAAGTCAATCGCCACGGGGTCGAGTAAATGTTTTCCGGTCGAGACGAGTGACTTGGTGGGCAGACGCCACGGGAAGTTCGGGCTGCACACGTATTTTGAAGCAAAATACAAATCACACCTGTGATTGACATGTCAGAATCACCAGTCCCCTTTTTGCGTCCGGGATCGAGGTATATGGTAGACAAAGAAGTCAGTCTGAACTTACAATTGCATTGTATCGGCCAACCCGTACAACTCCAGGCCTTCCAATCCTCCTTTCTGACTGACCAGGAGCAATATGCCCTGGATATGCTTTTCATCATTGATCATGGCGCCGTAGACGTGGAGATTGTTGACTTTGGCCATAGGCGACACCGGGTGGACTTTTGGGTAGACGGTGTCGTCCCTGGCGTTGTGAATGCTCATGATGGTCACAGCCATGACCAGCGCATCAGTGGGGACCGTCGTCGTCGCAACAGCTTCGTTCGCGTTTCTGTTTTCTCTCGGTGCGTTGTTGTGGTCTCGTCCCTTTCGTTTGGAGGAGGCCGAGGATGAGGAAGAAAGGCTGAGCGATCGCAAGTGCTCGTTTACGAGCTTGATCGTTTCGACCTTGTGCGACAGCCGGAGGAGCGGGGCCGAGTCGCTGATCTCCCGCCCGTTGTATGCGCATAGGACGTGAAACGACGCTGCGTAGACAAAGGCGTGGAATGCTACAGGATGTTCCATACCGCACTTCAACCAGGCGGCCTTGACGGGGTGCATATTGGAAAGAGAACGTTTGACCGGAACGGTGTTGGGCCAGGAGTAGGACAAGGCCTGTTATGAGGGAACGTCAAGACAACTCTGTCAGTAATCGATTCGATTCAGATGGGAGTCGCCATCCTTAGATAGCAAGTCGGAGCTCGGGGGTTCTGGCTGGAGAGGATAGTACATACGTGGTCGAGAACTTGATGAATGAAGAGGGGCACGCCCTGAACTGGGAAGGCGTCGAAGGGATCGACTCGACCCTCGCCGAGGGCAGATTGAAGATGGTGAGCGCTGTTTAGCTGGCGAGCGATATCCTTGTAGTCATCCTCCCCGGGAGGAGTCGAGGAAGGACATGACGGTTCGCGCGACGATGGTTCACCTCCATCGCCCTTCTCCCAATGCTGTTCATCTCCTTCCGTCGTATCCCGCGCAGGACTTTCGCGAGGCTCTAATTTTGATTTCTCGACTGGACTGCTGTCTGGTCCCTTTTTGAGCGCCTCGAGGCGCTTGACTCTCAGCGCTCGGTGGTAATTCTTGGTGATGTGCTAAACTTGATCGTCAGCAAGGCCACCGTCAAGAGCCGATTCCCGCGCAGCAGTTGAGTGGAAAGACGCCTTCTTTCACAATCTACCGAGTAGTGGACAGCTTCGGATTTCTGAGTGAGATGGTTGCTTACCGCGCGGACTTCACTGGGACCGCCACGGCGCTTCTTCTGGCCCTTGACCGGTTCGACGGGCTTCGAGTACTCGACAAACATAAACTGACTCGTGGAGGCGTTACACGCCATTTTGCAGTGGTCTTGCTCATCTAACGCTTCTCACTGACAACTGTCACTTTGCGGTCGCCCGTCGAGTAAGCCGCGTATTGTGTGTAGTGGTTCGGAGCATCCAAAACGCGGGGTCGCAGCGAGACCAGGATCAAAAGGTACGAAGACAGTCAAGTACCTCGTCTCTGTCGGTGGCGCAAACAAAGCTGACGCTGTTGAGGTGTTTCAGTGGATGTGTAAGAATATCGTCAGGAATTCTAGAAGGATTCAATAAGAATCTCAAAACGGTGAAGTGATAGATGGACGATGTGTCAGCAGTAGGCTGGAAAGAAAGTCCGCCAGTCTGGAAGAACGGAGCCTTTAAGGAACTGACTGAAGGTTTCTGCGGGCCTGGGAATCTGGAGAGGAGGGGCGGAAACAGGTACCGTAAGTGGGCTTGATGTTACCAAGTTGACTGGTTTGGCTTTTCTGATACAAGAGCTGAGGCTGCATGTGTGAGTGTGTGCGTTTGGTCTGCGCGCAGACGAAAACTACAGGTATAGGCGCCGGGTGACCAGCGTGCACGAGTAATGCAAGCAGAACTAACAGCGATCGGCTAGTAGGCAGTGGTGGCACCCATGCAAGTGCATGCAAGCATGCCTAAGCACAAGTTCGCGACTAACAGGGCTTGCACGGCAGACGAGACACTTGCTTAGGCACTGGCCCCTCATTATTGGCCTCCAGAACGCGAAACGTCCAGGTGTAACTGAAGCAGGAAAATGGTCTGATCGACTCAAGCACTCCATTTTCTGATCAGGCACTTGTATGGAGTAACTAGAGATATTACGATCGAATTGTAGGGCTGGTCGGTTGAAACGGAGGGAGAATGACTCCTGCGCCCTCGTGCATCCAACCCTGCGTGCGCCCACGAACTTATCCCTCACTTGTTATTATTTCCTCCTAATCGCCCTTCTTAACCCATCTACATCCTCGAGACATTAATCCCCCCATCCCCAGCTTTGGCCGCTACCACCTAATAATTTACCTTCTGACGATTCACCCTGTTACTAAGCGCTGCGACACCATCTGCCGACCATCGAATTTCTCGGTTCAAATTTGGTTCCCAGAATGAGCAGTTGTGCAGAGACACTGGGTGACATTCTTCCGCGTGCTACTATAAGCGAGAGACGGCCCAGGAAGCCAAAGCCTTATTTTTGTCAAACTACCCAACCGGCATCGATGTTACTATTTATCCAGTCTTTCCGGGCGTGTTACCAATGGTGTCCGGCCCGGGATCCAACGTCAGCCTTGCAAGAATGCTGCTTCGCCCGACCACTAGAATACTGCTGGACATTTGCCCCCTTACGGTTAATGATAGGTATACTGCGGCACAGAACCGCGAGATCTGCAAAATTTCGCTCGTTACTAAGATGGATATCTGCAATACAACATTATACCAGTGTCTGCGATACTGCAAAACCCAGTGTGGAAATGGGTGTATGCATCCCAGACTAGTCGCCGATTCTTGTCGAAGAAAAAAAGAATGTGTTCATGCAAAGTCGTTTTCATCAATTTTTAGAACTCATGCTATTATATCGTGGCAACGGTTTGGTACCTAGAACTCGATGATTCAGAGGTCACGCCTCCCTCCCTTCAACCAACCATTATGCCACAGAAATGCCATCTCTGGTGTGCAGGTAGTTCTTACGGTGCTCGTTGAGATCCGTGTCCGCGCCGCGGTTTAATGGTTTCCATTTGGGCTCGTCCTGGAACAACCGCATTGCTTTGATGTACTATAACTCCCGTCAGTGTCGCTGTCCACATCAAACCACAATCTTATAGGATGTTCCAGTCTACTCACATTTGCCTCATCAGTGGTGAACCGGTGGTAGATACCCGCAGGCAGAATAATGAGATCATCCTTCTCGAGTCGAATTCTGACCCAGTCGTCATCCTTTGACCTAACATCGAAATAACCTGCGCCGTCCCGAATATAGCGAATCTCCTCGTCTTCATGCAAATGCTCGTCAAAGAACATTTTCACCTTGTCTTCATAGACATCGCCCATGGCTTGCGGAGACACGGTGATCTCATCGCGGTTTTTATAGTGTCTTTCTTTTGCAATAGCGTCAACCGAGGAGAGCTCAGGGCAGTGGTGGTACAGGACGCCGATTTGGGCGAGGTAAGAGGGATCAACTGTGCGGCCCGAATCATGCGCGAGGCGCTGGTCGCCCTGGTGAGAGCAGTTAGCATTGGGGAAAAGACCGAATTCGCGCGGGGAAGTTGACGCACTTCTTTATTATCGAACCAATATGCCTTCATGGTGGCTGTGAGTAACGAGGGTTCGAGATGAGTGCTGAGATTGCACAGCAATTAGGACGATATGGCTATGTTGAGGAGGGGTAGCAATGATTCAACGGCGGATGGAGAGGAGGAACCTCGGGATTTAAATATTTTCTGCAGCCAAATCCTACAATCCTGATGGCAATTGCACGTTGAGAAGAATCTTTTTGTCTTTGGTCAGATTGGGCAACGCGAGCCTCTTGCGCCATGGGCGGCGTCGGTGGTGCCCCATGACTTTGGTGGGGATTTGCGAAACTGTAAAAGAAGGGATCGCCGTCACCACCATTAAGCCCGACTTCATAGGCTCGCAGACGGCATTTCTCACTTCTACTACTTTTGTACAATCCATCGCATATTTTGCTCTGTATCCACCGCCACTGCTGCTGACATCTCAACTCAAATACCACTTCAAGCGAAACATTACGATCAAACCATTTTCCCTGCCTCTATCACATTGGCGCTCCGTCTGGATCTGGACATTATATCGACCCTGGGAGGAATCGAGCCATGGCTAGTCTCGATAGATACGATTGAGCTGTTGGCGTCAAAGACTGGGGTCTTGATATCGACTGAAGGAATGCCACTCGAATCCTTCTGATGCGCAGCTACCAGAGGTACCCGGTAAGCACCTTCGACGACTCCCACGGTCCCACATTATTCTCCCGCTTCGTTCCTATCAGGCTTCGACAACTGATCTTTCTGACCACTGTGATCGAGACATATGCTTACCTACTCCCAGTCCCGCTCAAATACCTCTGAGAAATCTGCAGGCTAGACCTCTGCATCAGCTTCCTCCGTGCTCGAAACAGTATCGCCGCAGGAGGTCGGCTGTGGAGGCAAAGGTGTCGAGCTGCGTGTGCGTGAACTGTCAGCGACTGGTCTGAACTACATTGGCTACGTCTGTGTCTTCCAAATGTCTTGCTCGAATGGGTTTTGCGGTCGGGTCCGGGGTACTATGTGATTTTGGTATCGATCCGATTCAGGCCTTCCGCAGTGGTTTGTGTTGGTATGCCCTCGACGGTGTAGTACGAATCTTTTCAGAGACCCACCACAGCCCAATATCATCTTTTTTCATCCAGCAAGATGGATGACCTCAAACGCACCAACTCTAATGATACTCACTCGGCATCACCCAGCACGGCTCGTCGATCTCCCCATCCTTCGACAACAGGCGCCGGCAAACTCTCTCTACCATACACAACAGATCCACCCTCTCCAGCAAATCCTCCACAACAGAAAGTATGGCTCATTTTCGGCGCAACAGGACATATGGGCCGCTCCGTGACCAAGGCTGCCCTTGCCCACAACGACATCGTCGCTGCTGTCGGCCAATCCTTCCACGATGACCTAGCGAGCATGAAGCAATGGCATGACATACCCGGTCGGTACCTGGGCTTGTTATGTGACGTACGAATACGTTCCAGCGTGTCCTCGGTCATCGAGCAGACCATGAAAACGTTTGGCAGAGTGGATGTCATCGCAAACTGCTCTGGGTATGGCGTGATTGGGGCCTGTGAAGACCAGGATGAGTATGAAATTCGGAATCAGTTCGAAACTAATTTTATGGGCACGTTGAATATCATCCAACTTTCGCTGCCCTATTTCCGCGAACGCCAGGACGGGAGATATTTGATATTCAGCTCGACGAGCGGCGCGCTCGGAGTCCCTGGCTTGGGACCATATTGTGCGACCAAGTATGCCGTAGAGGGCCTGATCGAAAGTATGTTGTACGAGGTTGATCCCTTCAACATTAAACTCACCCTCGTTGAGCCGGCCCACATGCGCCGGGACGACAATGACATTTTCCCACCCTCACAGCCGGATCTATCGAACACGACCACGACGACTACCACCACCACCAACGGACAAATCCCCCAGCAAACGCAACAACAGCAGCAACAACAAAATAATCAAAAGCAGAACAAACTAGCCCTCTTCGGCCACTTCAAAGTCGCACGCCCATCATCGCCGTACGCGACCAAAGACTCCCCCGCCGCCCATGCCCAACGGACTCTGCAGTGGATGGGGGCCAACCAACCCACCTCGGTCGTCAAGGCCGCCGAACTGGTCTGGCAGCTCGGCCACTGCCGCTACCCGCCACTGAGATTGTTGCTGGGAAGCTTCGCGGTGGACAGCATCCGCGACCGGCTGAAGAGCATCATCGAAGAGATCGAGGACTGGAAACATTTAAATTTCCCTCCGCTTGAAGGGTTCGAGGAGAAAGAGGACGGTGAAGGCGATGGAGATGGTGATGGAGAAGGGGAAGAGGGAGAGGGCGAGGGCGAGGGCGATGGCGATGGCGATGGTGATGGTGATGGCATTGGCGACGGTGGTGTTGATGTTGACGAACGCGCCGACCACGATGAACAAGGACATGGAAACGAAGTCAATATCCCCAGAAAGTCCGGCGACCAAGATAAAGAGATGGGAGAGGGCGAAGGCCGAAGAGGTAAAGGAGAGGGAGGACAGGTGCATGTAAAGCGGGAGGGTGAGATGGATCTGGATGATTGAAAAGAGACACAGACCAGGCTGGATAAATAAGGATCGAACGCTTACAGACGATGACGAGTACAAGGACCAGAGCGACAAAGTTGATCTTGTCCACTGTGCGGGATCTTCTTATGGGTTCAAAGGGAGTCTTTTCTTCTTGATTCGACACTACCTGACAACTTCAGGTCAGCTCTGAGAACCGTCCGCCGCCCAGAAATGAGCTGTATCTGCTGGTCTGCTATCCATTCCCTCAGCCATCGTGTCGAAGCCAGCTATATCTCAATCGGTCGCCTTGCACAAACGGCTCCACCCCCGCAGAACAATATAGGTCCCAGCGAACCGAGAGCGCTCGAGTTCAATCAGGGGTAGAAGCGGTATATCGCCAGACATGACCAGAAGGGATCCGTCGATGAAAGGATAAGAGACGGGCCTTTTCCACCCATATCATACTTCTGTCATCGCCTTCTCGTTCTCCCCTAGGAGGAGTCTCTGGATCTGCAATCGGCGGAAAGAGCAGCTACCAAACCTGATCAGCTCCGCAACAGAATTTCCAACAAACAGTCCCGGGCGTGCATTCGGCCCGTTGGTTAAAACCATGCACCCGTTGTTGGCCAATCGTCCGGGGCAAGTTCGATGTCGTGAGATGCAATATTCGTACACTTACATCGTGGGCATGCTCGCCCACTTAAGTCTAATCTCAATCCGTGTTGAGTACGCTCGGATGCCGAAGGTCTCAAGCCAAAGGTCGTTTTCAATGGACCTTGTCTTGGATCTGGATGTCGATATGATACAGTTGTCTTTGAACAGAAAAAAAAAAACCTTCTCAATCTCATCAAGCGACAGATGGATGGATCAAAGTGTGATTCGCATATGATCGTTCGCGCCAAATGCCTTCCCGCAATTTGGGCACTTCCTCGCCCTCAACGTCAGCCGTTCAGCAACACAGTCGTTGCAGAATGTATGCCCGCACGTCTTGATGACGGTGTTTTTCAGATTCCGCTTGCAGATGTTACAATATGCAAACTGCCTCAATATCTCGTATTGCTCGGACTGTCCTGATTTGGATTTCCATGTCTCAAGGTTTCGGCGCGTGTCTTTGAGCGAGGACTTGAGATCTTCCACTTCAACTTCGGCAGCACGACAAGCGCTGGTTGCGGCGGCGAGTTTGGCGTCTTTTGCAGTGGCTTGGGTTTTGAGCTCAGTTATTTGGGTGTTTAATCTGGAGATTTCGAGTCCTTGGGTGATGTTCTGTTGTTGGATGGTTCGATGTTCGTTGATCTTGTGGGCCAGGGCATCCTTCAGTTCGGAAAGTTGCTTGTCTGCCGTTGCTAACAATGCTCGCGTGGCGGCTTCAGCTTCTTTCAGCGCTGCGATTGCTTCTGCCGATTTGGCGTTTTGCAGTCGCAACGTCCTGATCTCACCGGCCTGGGTTTCCTTGCTTTTCATTGCGGCAAAGAATTTCTGGTCCGCTTTGGTCTTGTCCATTGATAGCTTCAAGACTTTCTCCTCCATGGCAGCAAACTCCGAGACTTTTTGACTCGCGATCTTTGAAGCCTTTTGGAATGCTGTTGACATGGACACGAGCTCACCATTGAGGAGATTATACTTCCTGTCGAGTTCGTGGTACCTGGCCCGCAAATCTTCCACATTCAAAGCATCCAGCTCTGCGCTCTCCACCGCCATCTCGCTTGTTTGAGTTGTTAGCCGCTCATTTTCGGACTCCAGTGCCCGAATACGGTCTTCTTGTGCTGAAGCCAGTTCAGTAATCTTTTTCACAGCCTCTTGGTTCTGATCCAAAGAAGCTTGCTTAACGGCTTGGTCTGCCAGTAACTCATCCCTGCTGTGCCGGATCCTTGCTAGATTGGTCTCTGACGCCGCCAAAAGAGATTCCTTTTCTGCTATAGCCACTCGTTGCTCGTTTTCTAACTGAAGTTGGTATGTTGTCCTTTCCGATCGCAACTTCGTGGCTTCTTCCTTGAGGTCGGTGTTGGTGGCTTCCAGATTATTGAATTTCTTGATGGTATCCTCAAGTTGCGATTTCAGTTGCTTGAATAACTCGGTTTTGGCATAGTCATCATCCGTCAGAGTCGCCGATTTCGTTTGGAGCTCCGTCAGCTGTGCGGTCAGCTTTGCATTTTCTTCCTCCAACCTGTCCAGCTGCTCTTTTTGCTTTTCCGAGGCTGCTACAGTCTTGTTCAACTCCTTTTCCAGCTCCGCCAGCTCTTCAGAATTGTCTGTTGTCCCATTGAGCGTGCTTTCTTCTCTCTTAACTGGGCCACCATCCTCTGTTGCGGGCTTAATTGCGCCTAATAAAGCCTGTTTCTCCAATTTGGCGACCGTTACACTTTTTGCCCTGTCAATCTTGCGTTCGGCCGTCATATATCTGAGAGAGGCGTTTTCTAGTTGGTGATCAAGATCATCTTTCTCTGACTGCAGACGCTGTAATTCGATCAGATGACTTTTTTCGGCAGCCAACAATTTTGCGACCTGTGATTGCAAGTCTGTTACATCAGGAGATGCCGGCTTTGTGGAACCGAACAATCTTGATATCACATCTTGTATCTGCCTTGAGCGATTGCGAAGGTGTACTTCAAATTGTTCTTGATCTGAAAAAAGTAGCGCCGAGGGCAAGGACCCTGAGTCCATATCGACATCGTCATCCACCTTGGCGATGACTTTGACCTCATCGACAACTTGTTGGAACCAAGCATCAATGACCCGGAGATGGTCGTCATGATATCGGGCCTTTTTTCGCATCTCTTTCAATTGAGCCTCCAGGGTATTTTTCTCTCTCTTATATTCCTGCATCTGCCGCCATATCGCATCTTTCTGGAATCTCTGTTCAACAGAATCCACATTAGTCTGCATTTCGGAATGTCGAAGGGGGAGAGCGGAGGATAGGCTTACTTCCAGATCGTCCTTCCAGGGCATGTCATCATCCTTGTGAGATTTCGATGCGCCATTTGCAGAAGTGGCTTGCTTCTTCAGCGGCGGAGCGGATTCTACAGAATCATAAGGGGAGGGTCTTTTACGCTCTTCCATCTTGACTAGACTCTGTTGAGAGAGGGAAAGGGGGAGTGATTCGATGGCCGTCATCAGTCCTGCTGCACCAGGGCCGCTGCTTTTAGGCAGTGAATATCCTTGGGGAAGGCCCGCGTTGGCAGGAACGGCGAATGACGCCGCTATAAGGGGTTGCCGATGAAGTTGTTGAGTTGTTGACAGAGAGATTGCGCAAAGGCGAGGACGAAAAGAAGAATGAAGATGTCGAGTCGCTGCGGACACTGTAGACAAAGCCGGTTAGCGGCCCTCGGATCTTGGCATGTTTGCCGATCAAACCTGCCACCCATGCCACCGGAGTCGTGGTGGGGAGTTGCGCCCTCAAACCTGGAGCAAACAAAGAGGAAGGCATCTGAGCGCGTGTGGGAACTTAGTACGCCCCGGCGGGCATAAAGAACATCACGCTCATTATGTCAACCTTCAGTTCAGTCGTGCGAAAACCGGGGCAGAAGATCGTTCCGAAGGGCCCAAGAAAGAATGTCCAAAGAAATACCCTCAGACATGCTGCTCTGCCATCCCTGGCGCCAGAGAGTCAGACTGTGAGTCCTGCTGTTGAACTTGTTGACGAAGCAGTTGAGAGTCACGAACGGGAGCCGGAGCCACGAACGGAGATAATTCAGGAGACCATCGAAATACCTTCCATCGCAAGTTCGATAGAAACAGCAGGAGAGCCCCTCATTGTACCACCCCAAAACGAAGAAACACCGATCGAGAGAGATCCTTCAGCATCCGTCGAAGTAGTTGTTCCTAGGCACACAAGTCATGAACTCGAAATCACTCGTTCCGCCAGCGTAAGCGAGAGTCAACCCCAACAAAGTGCCATTCCCTCGATTTCGGTTTCGATCCCCTCAATCCAGCAGACACGAAGAACTACACGGGAGCTAACTTCCCCAGCAACGGAAGACTCAGCCCAAGAGACGGAGAGACCGGATGCTTCGAGGAAGCGGCAGAAGACCACTCATACGGTCGAGGATTCAAGAGAGTCAGAATCACAAACCCCTCCCCCACGCGATGCCACACCACCGATACTCAGGACCAGCCCGCGAGCTAGGCGGAGTGAATCGCGTACATCGGACGCGTTGTTACAAGACGCGACAACCCAAGCAGCTGCTGTGTCAGAGCTTGCAAATTCAATTGAAAACAGAGCAAGGTCGCAACAACCGCGCTCAGCGCCTCGTTCAGTGTCGCAAGCAGCAGAAACAGAAGAGAGTGCTGCTGAGGATGCTGCACAACCACGGGCGAGACGCCCAAAGAAAAAGTCAAGATCGAGGAGAGTACAGGAGCTAGCCCAAAGAGTCGTTGAAGATGCCATCCGTGGTAGCCCAGACGAGACAGGTCGGCGCCGACCTCGCCTAGCTACACCAGAGAATGCAGAAGAGCTAGAAATAGACCCGCAGGAGGTCTCGATGGCAGATCTCATCAAGGACAACAAGATAGGCAAGAAATCGGAAACAGAGAAGCGAATGCAGGAGAACTGGCCGGAGATCAAAAAGCGACGCAAAGAGGAGATTGAGAAGCGACGGGAAGCTGCTCGTGGGGGCGTTAACGCGTCTGCAAACGAGGAAGAGCACAATGGCCCCGAGGTAGCAGCCGTTCCCAAGCAGATCATTGTTAATGGACAAATTGTGGTGGCCGCGGAGTCTCGAGAAGTCGCGTTCGGCGCCGGTGTTGAAGAGGCGGTGATTCAAGATGCAAATATTGCGCTCGAGGATGACCGGATCTACAAATATGTCAATTCAGGGACATTGGGGAAGCATGCAGGTCGAGGGCGCGGGAGCCGCTGGGACGAAGATCAGACCAGCCTCTTCTACAAAGGATTGCGGATGTTCGGCACGGATTTTACCATGGTTGCAGCTCTTTTTCCGGACGACGTTGATCGGCGTGTCATCAAAAAGAAATACTTGATTGAGCTTCGCGCGGATCCACAGCGAGTCGAACAGTGCGTTGCGGCTAAGGAAACCGTGAGTATAGAGGACTACGTGGCAATGACCAATATGGAGCTTGAGAATCCAGAGGATATAATGAAGGAGCTGGAGGAACAAGAGCGAAAATTGAGGGAGGAGGATGAGAAGAGAAGAGCAGACCAGGGATTTGTTGACCATCTCGCAGGCGCGGACGTGCCGTTACCATCTACAGAGAGGGACGACGCGGACCTCGACGAGAGCGGGCTAGCAGTCCAAGAACGACAGGCAGATGCAGGGGCATATTTGGCTTCGCCAGAAGCACCGAGCACGGGTCAGATAGATCGTATCTCAGCTTTGGCAGAGAAGGTCGTCCAGGCAGCGGTGAATCCCAGAAAGAAACCGCGGCGTCAGACGAAAGAATCAGCTGGAACTGGCCGTGGACGGCAATCCAAGAAGGGGAGGAGGCCGGTTGAGGGGGTGGAGGAGAGAATTGGCCCGATTGACGAGGTCGATCAGTGATGGCTGGCTTGACAGCCTCACCCGCCTTTATCGTCTATCGTCTTTGTGGACTGTGATTGTCAGTTGCACAGCTTGAGCATCAGATGCCGTTTGCTCTGGTAGACACAATGCCATTGATGTTCCGTGTTGGCGATTTTGGTATACAGCTCCACTATCCATGAGTCCTTTCTTCTCGTAGTGGTGATGTCTTGCTGAGGCCTTCAGATGATTGCTCCCTGCAGGAGTCCCGTTCAACCACCATCATCACACCTTGTCCCTTTGCTGCAGCACCAGAAAAGGGTTCGATTTGGGTCTCCTAACCAGCCAACAGAGTCCGCGTGCCTTCGTTTGAACTGGCCCTCAAGGCCGGCAATGAGATGTTGTTCTGCCGTCCACCAACATTTGCTCTTTCTGAGTCCAGCTTCCGCTCACACCTCAATCTGGCTGCTCAATACCAGGCCCATCTCCACACACAGTAATCCACACAATTCGGCGGCGTGACATTCGTGGTACGTCTCACGAGTTCGCAGTTGCATCTAGAGGGCTCGTTGTTGCTAGAACCACGCACGGTGGTGGTGGTGATGGTCGGCAGCGGCTGGGTAACGGTGATGAGGGTGTTCGGCTGTTGATATCCCTTTACCGCCTGGGTTGACGCGGCGAAGAAGAGGAGTAGAATCACCGTGAAGATCGTGGGTGTCGCCTTGTTCCGCACCATTCTCGCCCAGGTCGCTCACTCGTTTCAGATGCACCGTGGTCCTGGAGTCTGTGATGGGTTGATTGTGTGATCGCGCCGGGGATAAGTTTGCTGATCCTGTGTCAAAGGCGATACCATCTGAGGTGAACGGCTGATGAAAGAAATCTGGTTCTGTTACCTGACAACTCATAAAGGGGCATCGCCTTCACTGAAAAGCACGAGAGAGAGACGCGTCGCTGCCGCACCGCGCACACGTCTCAAAGCTCGTCAGGCCAGTGAAGAATATGGGTCCAAAATCCCTTCACGCAGTGGCTGACCGTCATTCATGAATTGAAAATCCTGCTATAAAGCAACTCGTGTCTTCCCACCCAGAGATCCATAGATGGGACTACCTGTCCCGCCTCCTCCGGCCTCATCAGCCAGACTTTTTCCAAACAGCCACTCAATAGCTCTTGCAATTCTTTGGATGCCAGTATGTTTTGTGCCATATAAGGTCCCATGACGGACGCCCGAACACCAGCGCTAATGATTGCTTTGGAGTGGTTGAGAAGGAACAGATAGCATGTCTCTTCTAGGTTGAGGCCTAAGGTATGACAGATGACTCCCCAAACAGGGGCAAGATGTCCGTTCACAGCGGCAATTTGGTGAGGGTCATTACTGGACAGTCCGCCAGGAGATAGAGCTGAAAGTTTCAAGTCTCGAGCAAAAACTTCAAGGGCAGTGATACCCTCAAGTTCGTCCCCTTCCTCTTCATGCCGGACCTTTGCAGTGGGAGCAAAGGCTTTCTCCCAAACACTCAACAGTGCACGGCCTTGAGCGACGCTTGCTCTCCTTGCGACGTTACAGGCCGTGCTCGCATCAAGATCGTTATCGAGGTCCATGAGCGCCAATGGATCACGAAATGCAGCAAGCACGTACGGAATGTTTGTGTAAGCCATTGACTGGACGGACAGCTTGAGAAATTTGTGGAAAAGGGAGAGATTTGTCTGCCCAGGCGCAGGGATTTCTTGTTTGATATGAGCCAGGAAGGATTCCAGACCGCTGGAGTAGGCGAATGATCCGAGAGGAAGGGCTGAGTCGGAAAGAAGCATGAGGTTGTGCATCGAGGTCCCTACCGGAAGAGTGACGGGCACAGGAAACAGCAGGCTTCCTCCATCCCCACGAGGATCTGAAGCCGATGTTGAGCTCGACCTTTCAATGCGTCGAAGGAGGGCTTTAGTGGTTTGCAGTTGGACCTCGAGCTCCAGGACTCGGGCGCGGAGAGCCTCCGCGTCGTCCACTTTCATAGCATCATCAGCCAGAAAGATTTTACTTTTTAGGCTGTACCTTGGATGACAATAGTCACGGAAGTAAAGGTTAGTTATGACGGGGATGAGCAGAGTATGTAGGGTATGCGTTTGAGCTATGGAGACCAGCTGTGATTTGATGGTCCACACGTCACAAGCTCCGACCATTTTCTCCAACCAGCTGCGCTTCATACAAACAACCATCAAGAACGTCGACTGCATCTACATGTGTTCGACAGCCATCAGAAAGGGTCTTTGACCCTCCTTTCCTTTCTTTATCACCATGTCCGGCAGGCATATACTTGATGCTCTTGCCTTGCTTAGTGCTTCGCGGAATATCGCAGCGAAACATGTCGATATTCGACTTGCTCAAGCCCGGCTCTATGGCCAATCCTCCTCCGTCATCAAGGCTGTAAGGACCAAAGGCCTCCCAATCCTAGCTACATCGGTGTCACGATTCGGCTCCTCTTCCCAACCCCTTTCAAAATCACCCAGCGAGGGTATCGACCAAGACCTCTTCTACACGAGATCAGACAAAGGATCTCAAACCCAGGCAAACTCTCGCAAAAGCTTGAACATTGAGCAGGCCCAGGCGAGGAGAACACCACTGCCAGATGGGACAATACCACCACATGACAGCTCCATTGGAGCAGAGGAAGGCGATGGAATAACTTTCAATCAAGTCCCTACGGGAGAGACACCGCAGCATCCACTCGAGTCTGGACATACTCAAGACCTCAAGTTCCGTTCGTCTACGAGACCGAATCTCCCTGGTACGAGGTCTGTCGGGGATCTGTCTCCGGATGAGGCGAGAGAAGCTCAAAGACAATCCGAAGACCAGATTCCCGCGAATTCAGCCGAACCCCCTTCGCCAGAAGAAAATACTCGGGAATTTGGAGTGGGACAAGAGCAGGATGTCTTCTACCAGCCACCAGGAAGCGTTAAGCCAGTACTATCTGCCCTGCCGCGGGTTCGCGTTCCCAAGATCGAAAATGACGTACAGGAGGGCGATTCACACATCGAACCTGGTCTCAATGCGGACGTCTACTACTCTGGCTCTAAGCATGAGGCAGGCGATGAAGACGAGCCTACGGAGGAACAGCTATCTAGGCTATTTCGCAACCCCAGGAATGCGAGGACTTACGGGCAAAAGGCACGATACGCGCCAGGGGGAGTCTCAGCGAGACGATTCCATAGCAAGTGTGTTACGCAGCAGAAGGCCTCCGACAAGGATGCAGAAAGCCTTGAGAAACTTGGGGCCGAGCTTGCTAAAGACGCCCAGAAGATCAATGTAATTGAGCGTGCCTATCACTGGTCGATTTTGACTGATCAACTGACAGATAACCTAGTCGCAACAACCTCAGCCTCCACGACCGTATGAGATGCGTGAATCAAAGGTGCCAGCATCCAGGATGGGCCGAATATTTGAATTCGGAGGACTCGCAGCGTCGATGGCTTTTGGAGCTGTCAGCGAGGGTATCAGTCGCTCAGGGGGTCCCAATAGCTCGGTGATGTTGAGTGCTGCAAACATGGAACGTCTTGTCGCGAAGTTGTCCAAAATGCGAGGTGCCGCCCTCAAGTTAGGTCAAATGATGAGCTTCCAAGATTCCAAATTGCTCCCAAAGCCCATTCATGATGTGCTGCAACGCGTCCAAGACAGTGCGGATTACATGCCTGCCTCACAGAGAGACGCAGTCATTGCCGCTGATTTGGGTCCCAATTGGCGTGATCGGTTTTTTGAGCAGTTCGAGGAGAAGCCTATGGCCGCCGCCTCCATTGGCCAGGTTCACGGGGCGATATTGAAAGACGGCAGGAGAGTTGCGGTCAAGGTGCAATATCCCGGCGTGGCGGAGTCGATTTCCTCTGATCTCAACAACTTGTCTTTGCTACTTACTGCCTCTCGTCTGTTGCCCAAAGGATTGTACCTGGAGAAAACTATTGCCAATGCCCGTACCGAGTTGGCCTGGGAGTGCGACTACGTCCGCGAGGCTGAATGCGCAAAGAGATTTCGAGAGCTCTTAGCAGATGAACAGGACATCTTCACCGTCCCTGAGATCATTGACGAGGCATCAGGCAAACGAGTCCTGACCATGGAGAGAATGGGAGGGATCCCAGTCACCCGAGTCCGAAACTTTACGCAAGAGCAGAAGGACTGGATTGGATCACAGATTCTACGACTCTGTCTGCGTGAGATCACCGAGTTCAGATACATGCAGACCGATCCCAACTGGACCAATTTCCTCTACAACTCGGAAACAGACAGGCTGGAATTACTTGACTTTGGTGCGTCAAGAGAATTTCCTGAGAAGTTCATTCAACTCTACATCAAGACCCTCATCGCGGCGTCGAGAAAAGACAGGGACGCGTGCAGAGATTTCTCCATCCAGCTGGGCTACCTCACTGGTTATGAATCAAAAGCCATGTTGAACGCCCATATCGATTCAGTCATGACTCTGGCCGAACCTTTTATGGATTTCAGTCCGGACGTCTATGACTTCAAGGATCAAACCATTACTGACCGGGTTCGGGCCCTGATCCCTGTCATGTTGAGAGAAAGGTTGGCACCTCCGCCAGAAGAGACATACAGTCTCCATCGGAAGCTGAGCGGAGCCTTCCTGCTTTGTGCACGACTGGGCAGCCGAGTTCGATGCAAGGACCTGTTCGAGCAGGCGCTTGACAAAGCTGGGATCCATTAGACCTTGCGAGTCGATCAGAATACTAAAGTCCTTGGGCGGCGAATCTTGACCTCTCCAAAGTCTCTCCGTTTACAGGCATGAGCATCCCGCCACCACTTGACCTAAGCTATAACTTGGCCATTCTGAGCTGGTAGGTGTGCAATCCTGAGCACGACTTCACCTAAAGTTCACAGTCACCGGTTCACAGATTTCGTGGATGCAAAACGAGCGAGGACATCAAGTTATAGCTGACCGGCCTGGATCGACTCGGATTCCCTGAATAGTCAGAATGTAACTTGATATGGGAGGAGAATGTACAGTAGATTACTATTCACAACTCTTTTGGATCGAGCTGAACCCTAGTCGGTCTACCTGTGATTGTGGAATCTACTCGGTAGTTGTATTTCTAATTCCAATCATCTCCTTGGAGAGCCTTGGGCAAAGTGGAATACGGCACTTCAAACAAGTGGCCGTGGTTTCTGCACCTGCATCTTTGGCAGCATTCCGAGCGCGTTCATCTCCTGATACATCTCGAACGTACTCTCCATGGTATCTACAAACCCTGTCCATCCCAGTCGGCGTGCCTATTTTTGAGAGTAGTCAGTCAACCATCAGAGCTTTTGGGGGGCGGGCAGCACTGCTGATATATATCTCATATCACCGTGATCACCCACCTTATTCATGGAAAGGGGCCCAAAGACGACAAACATGACGTCGGCGATCAAGAAATTGGCCTCAACGTCCAAAAATGGATCGAACTTCAAGTTTTCCCTCTGCATGATCTCTTTCCACGCCTTGTGGTTCTCGGGATCCTTTGCCCACTCCAAGATGGAAAACGCAATCTTGGTCGATTGAGGTGGACCGTATCTAGATTATTATTATTATTACTTTCAGTCAGTAACAACCAATTGAGTAGACAAGTACGAAGACTTACCCCATGGGTGTATCTTTGCCGCCCCCGACCTTGAACTCTTGCCAGCCAGAATCGTCTTCGCTGGGCGGCTGCACTCCCTTCTGGACTCCAAACCATCTCACAAGCTCGTGGAAGATGCGGTCCCACGAGATGGGGCTGGTGTCCTGGCTGTTGAATGCTTCATTGCGACATTTGTCCTCGAGAATGGCCCACTCGCTGAGGTAGCCTGTCAGAAGGGCGCTCCCGTGGTGTGCACAGTACTGTTGCCACAGCTCCCAGGTGCCTGAGAAGGCGAGGGCAGTTCCACGCTGAGCAGCGACAGCGGCGAAGACGGCAAATGCGTACAGCCCGTTCATTTGCGTCGTCGACGACGTTCCGATAATGAACGGTGGCCGGATGATGTTCCACTCGACGTTGTTCGAGGCGCAGTACTCGAAGAGGAGGTCTTCCTGGGGGTAATAGAAATTGGGCTCGAGATGTCGAGGCGGAGGGTCAGATTCGACGTTGGGAGTTCGAGCTCGTCCGAGGTGACTGCCATAGTATTTTGCCCCGTTCTGGAGGAGGAACCGTTTGGGTTTGATGCTGGTGTGGCCCAAAGCCTGGAGGAAATTGGACAGCATGGCGACATTGACGTCTACCAGCTGCTGGTGGTTCGACCACATGACGTTCCCGTCCTCGGGCTTTGGCTGCAGATAGGCATAATAGAAGATGTATCGTACATCCGCATGCTCCAGGCCCGAGTTCAAAAGAGTCGCAATCTCGCCTGGATCCGACTGGAGTAGATCACAACTAATGTGGTGGATTCGACCATGGGCGTCCGCGGGGAGCAGTTTCATCATCTCTGGCGGTATGGGGCGTCTAGACAGGGTGTAAATCCTCGACCATCGCTGAGGCGACTGCAGAAGCGCACGCAGGGTGTTGAAGCCAGAAATGCCATTGGCCCCTGTGATCAAAGCCGTAAGTCCAGTCAACTGGGGGTCGAACTGCGGCAAATTGTGGTAGATGCCCACATTCCGGACGGGGTATTGTGAGGATGACATTGTTGAGAAGAAGAAGAAGAAGAAATCCTTGGTATAATAACTCGTTGCCGCACTCTCTCGACAGTCTCTTCTCCTTTTTCTTCTTCGTACCGTACTGGATATCGATAGACCGCTTTCTGGGTGCCCATTCTTGCCTCTCTCCAATGCAGAATGCAGGTATTTAAAGTCATATCGCTGGACATTGAATACTGCTTTGCTTCAACGAGATACTCGGCTCTATCACTCCCCCGGATGCTGGGGGAGTTTATTGGTCTGGGGGCGGG